AAAAACGTCATAGTATACTATGGCATAAAATGTCAAAAAAACATCATAGTATATTAAGGCATAAAAGGTCATAAAAACGTCATAGTATGGTAAGGTATCAAATGAAATAGTATCGTAAGGCATAAAAATGCCAAAAGACGTCATGGTATAATATGGCATAAAAATGTTAAAAAACGTCATAGTATAGTATGGCATAAAATGTCAAAAAAACATCATAGTATATTAAGACATAAAAGGTCATAAAAACGTCATAGTATGGTAAGGAATATAACAAAATAGTACAGTAAGGCATAACAATGCCAAAAGACGTCATAGTATAGTAGGGCATAAAAATGTTAAAAAACGTCATAGTATATTAAGGCATAAAAGGTCATAAAACTGTCATAGTATGGTAAGGTATCAAATGAAATAGTATCGTAAGGCATAAAAATGCCAAAAGACGCCATAGTATAATATGGCATAAAAATGTTAAAAAACATCATAGTATACTATGGCATAAAATGTCAAAAAAACATCATAGTATATTATGGCATAAAAGGTCATAAAAACGTCATAGTATGGTAAGGACTATAAAAAAATAGTACAGTAAGGCATAAAAATGCCAAAAGACGTCATAGTATAGTATGGCATAAAAATGTCAAAAATGTCATAGTATATTAAAGCATAAAAGGTCATAAAACGTCATAGTATGGTAAGGTATCAAATGAAATAGTATCGTAAGGCATAAAAATTACAAAAAATGTCATAGTATAGTATGGCATAAAATGTCAAAAAAACATCATAGTATATTAGGCATAAAAGTTCATAAAACTGTCATAGTATGGTAAGGTATCAAATGAAATAATATCGTTAGGCATAAAGATGCCAAAAGACGTCATAGTATAGTATGGCATAAAAATGTTAAAAAACATCATAGTATCGTATGGCATAAAATGTCAAAAAAAACATCATAGTATATTAAGGCATAAAAGGTCATAAAAACGTCATAGTATGGTAAGGTATAAGACAACATATTAAAGTAAGGTATAAAAATGCCAGAAAACATCATAGTATAATATGGCATGAAAATGTTAAAAAAAAAGGCATAAAAGGTCATAAAAATGTCATAGTATGGAAAGGTATCAAATCAAATATTATTGTAAGGCATAACAATGACAAAAAACGTCATAATATAATTGGGCATAGAAATGCCAAAAATAACGTCATAGTACATAGCACAAAACGTCAAAAAAACATCATAGCGTATTAAGGCATAAAAGTTCAAAAAAACGTCATAGTATATCAAGGCATAAAATGTCATAAAAATGCCATAGTATGGTAAGCAATACAAAGGCATAGTATAGTTAGGCATAGAAATGCCAAAAACAACGTCATAGTATATTAAGGCATAATATGTCATAAAACTGTCATAGTATGGTAAGGAATAAGACAACATATTAAAGTAAGGCATAAAAATGCCAAAAAACGTCATAGTATAGTATGGCATAAAATGTCAAAAAACGTCATGTTATATTAAGGCATAAAAGGTCATAAAAACGTTATAGTATGGTAAGGCATCAAATTACATAGTATTGTAAAGCATAAGAATGCCAAAAAACATCATAGCATAGTATGGCATAAAAATGTCAAAAAACGTCATAGTATACAATGGCATAAAATGTCAAAAAACCATCATATTATATTAAGGTATAATATGTCATAAAACTGTCATAGTATGGTAAAGCATCAACTCACATAGTATTGCAAGGCAAAAAAATGCCAAAAAACATTATAGTAGAGTATGGCATAAAAATATTTAAAAAACGTCATAGTATAGTATGGCATAAAACTTCAAAAAAACATCATAGTATATTAAGGCATAGAAGGTCATAAAAACGTCATAGTATGGTAAGGAATAAAACAACATAGAACAGTAAGGCATAAAAATGCCAAAAAACGTCATAGTATAGTATGGCATAAAAATGCCAAAAAACGTCATAGTATATTAAGGCATAAAAGGTCATAAAAACGTTATAGTATGGTAAGGCATCAAATGAAATAGTATTGTAAAGCATAAGAATGCCAAAAAACGTCATAATATAATATGGCATAAAAATGTCAAAAAACGTCATTGTATACTATGACATAAAACGTCAAAAAAACGTCATAGCAAATTGAGGCATAAAAGGTCATAAAAACATTATAGTATTCTAAGGAATAAAACAACATAGTATATTAAGGCATAATAATGCGACAAAAAAAGTGCATATAATGTCAAAAAAACATCATAGTATAGTATGGCATAAAAGGTCATAAAAACGTCATAGTATTGTAAGGAAAAAAACAACGTAGTACAGTAAGGTATAAAAATGTCAAAAAATATCATAGTATATTAAGGCATAAAAGGTCATAAAAACGTCATAATATCGTAAGGCATAAAAATGTCAAAAAACATCATAGTATGGTAAGGCATAAAAATGTCAAAAAACGTCACAAAAACGTTCCTCTTGGGACCACACACAGTACCCAAGAGGGATTTGAACCAAGAACCGTCCTATTGAAAGGGGACATTTTTAACCATTGTACTACCATGTCTCCCTCTTTGTGTAAGCCATATTATTAAAAAGCATAAATAAATTATATAGTACTAAGGCAAAGGACTCATCAATGAACATCTTAGTAAATTAAGGCATAAAAACAGCATAGTATAGTATGGTAAAAAAAAAAAAAAAACATCATAGTAAGGTAAGGCAAAAAACGCCAAAACATGTCAGAGTATAGTAAGGCATAAAAATGTCAAAATACATCATATATTAAAAAGGCATAAGAGACGTCAAAAACATCCTAGTATATTAAGGCATAAAATCGGCATAGTATAGTAAGGCAAAAAGACATTATAGTATAGTAAGCCAGGAAAATGTCAAAAAAACATCATGGTATAAGGTATAAAAATGTCAAAGACGTCAAAAAAAAGTCATAGTATAGTATGCCAAAAAACGTTGTGGTATAGTAAGGCATAAAAAAATCAAAAAACGTCATAATATACTAAGGCAAAAAAATTTGATAAATGTCATAGTATTGTGAGGCAAAAAAATGTCATAGCATAGTAAGGTAACGTCACAGTATAGTAGGGTAAAAAAACATCAAAATAGGCCATAGTATAGTAAGGCATAAAAATGTCAAAGAATGTAATAGTGTAGTAAGGCAAAGAACATTGTACAATAGTAAGTCAGAAACGTCAGGCATGTAAGGCATGAAATCATCAAAAAACATCATAGTATAGTCCGGCAAAAAAACTTTTAAAAACATCATAGTATAGTAGGGCAAAAAAAGATCAAGAGATGTCATAGTATAGTAAGGCAAAAAAATGTCAAAAAACATTATAGTATAGTAAAGCCTATAGATGTCAAAAAAGGTCATATTATAATCAGGCTTAACAATGTCAAAAAAGGTCATAGTACACTCAGGCATAAAAAGCCATATTATAGTCAGACAGAAAAACATCATAGTATAGTAAGCCATAAAAATGGCAAAAGATGTCATTTCATAAAAATACTTGAACATAAAACACATACTTTCTCCACACGTATACACACACAGGAACACAGCCATAAAAAGACAGAGTGGAGAGGGGAAACTGGACAAACATAAAAGACCTGAAAAGAGACATATGTACATACATATGCAATGAGGTAGAGAAAGCGGGGAGAAAAGCAGGGTGCAAGACACACGTTAACAACCATACATGTACCCACACACACACACACACACACACGCACACACACAAAATGGTAGGGAGCCAACACTAACGCCTGTTGGCTGCTCAGGTCTGCCAGGTTCTCTGTTTTGAGGCTGTCAGGGTTGATGCTATCACCATAGAAACGATGCTCCACAGCCAATAGCAGAGCCCTGTGTTCTTCAGCCATGTCAACATGGTGACCTGGGAAAATATGGTCAAAGCAAATAAGATTCAGTGTGAAGCAAGGTTTAAATGCAACTAGAGTAAAAAAAATAAATAATGTAATTTAATAATGTATTCTTGATTCTATAAAAATCAAGAAAATTTGATAAAGTGTCTCCAATAGAGAAATATCTCCACCCCAGTTTCACAGAGTTCAGAGTTGTTGCATTTTCAAATGTCAACGATATTCTGTTAACAATAATATACAACAGAGAAAAGCACAAGTTGCCCAGAAAATAGCTCCTTTACTTGACTTACATATACACACACAACAGTTTTGTAACAATAGCTTTGATGGTACACAATTCATCCCAAGATAAGCTTAATGTTGTGTTCCCCAGTGACAATAATAAACACTATATACTGCATAAACAGCTAGTAACCTGGACTGAAAAATGTTTTACATGTGATTTTAAAAAAAATACTTAGAGTGTAATTTTTTTCCAAGTGCTTTTTCAACAAAAATTGTTATCCCTTCATCCCAAAACTCTATCACATAGTCATCTGGTGCAGGCTAGTTACCTAGTGAGCATTTCATTGGTACCATTATGTACTAAATAATTACACTATAATTTGCAGTCTGTGATAAAGTGTCACCTAAAATTTAAATTCAAAATTAAGATGATAGAAACACAGAGAAAGAAATTGGATGGTGGGTACTTAGAAAACTCAGTATAGGACAGGAAAGATATTCCTGTAAACCAATACCAGTAAGTCACCTTACTCACTTTGCTAACACACAATGTGACGCTTCACTTACAGTGTTTTCACTTTCATTTCCAAATCTTTAACTGTGTACTGGCCAGTTTGAAAGCTAATTTTTTTGTATTTTATCTGGTGTTTTAAAGTGTGTATCAGACAGGTGCTGCTTCCTACTGTACCTGCCAGGACATCAAACTCAAAGATGGGCCCTTCTCCTCCGATGAAGAGGAACACTGGGCCATCAGGACGCTGCCAGTACGCCTCATTCACAAAGAACCTCTGGAAGAAGGACAGACAGAGAGAACCGGACAAAGTAAAATACCAAAAAAAAAAGAGAGAAAGGTTTTATTTAGTTTCACTCAAACCAGCAGCAGTGCACATTCATGGCCTTAGTGCGAGTAATCCTTTACTTTACGCTGCAGTGGACAAATTTGCACATTGGCAGCCTCAAATGGCAGCAAGAGGTAAATGAAGCTGAACATTTCAATTCACGTCGTCGGGAAACATTGTCTTGTCAGTGCCTGGTGGAGTTGGACGGGGGTAAAAAGGTTCAACCAGTCTAGATTTCTCTGTATGTAGAGCTCACTCACTCTTTGGTGCGTCAGAGCTACTGTTGGATTTTACTCAGTTTAGCTCTCAAACTTAAAGCAGCACAGTTCAGTGGGGCAGGAGACTCTTTTGCTCCTAGCTGAGAAGGCAGTTGTTTTATCATCCTTACAGCATCAGAAACACAATGAAAGATCCTCTGAAATAATGTGCAATGCTGTAGTTTTTCATGCTTATATATCAAAATATTGCATTCATTTAGATTTTTCGATCAAAGCAACTTGTTCAAATGTAAGTCTAAGTCAAGTGTACATTTGCTTTTTGTATCTCGAATATCAGACCTTGATCATGTAATCATCTATGCACTCACTCTGGATAGCTCAAAACTGAAATGCAAATAAAGCACCATTTGATCTTTCTCTACCTGAGGGAAGGTGTTAACAGCCTGTCGGTTGAAGTGGTCCAGTGGCTGGTGGATGCGTCCCTCCTTCACATGTTTGAGGGGCTGACGGCCACTGACTGTGTGTATCAAAAGATGCTGCTTGGCTTTCTGCAGCTGGAGATCACGCACACGCTCCTTGATCTGCCGCAGAACTCGTCCTGGTGTTCAAAAAGAAACAAAGAGACACGACAGACAATTGAGAGAGAACGACAATTATGCACAGTCATGGAAATAATACACTGCTGAACGGTCTGGGGGTCTGACTCTTTCTGAGGACCACCACACTCAGTCTTATGTGATGGGAGCATCACAGCAGCCTTACTGACCTGCTGGCCTCCAGCTCTGAGAGGCCTCCTGTGTATCTCTATCAGCTGACTGATAAAATCAACTGAACCAAATCTGCTCATATTTCACCCAGGGTCTGATGTCCATAACACTGATAGGATGGCTGACAAAAATACTTAAAACTCGATCTACAAAATCTATGATCTATTTTAGGAACAGTCTACATCCAACAATAGTTTCTCAGGGGACTTGTCATCAACACCAGCATGCTTTGCTTTTTCTTTTGTCTCAATTTTGACAACCACAAACATAACTAGACTTGCAAGCAAGTATAACAGGGTCCCACCACCCCAACACAACTCAGACCCAGAGGCGCACTGAACCAAGGTGATCAATAATAAATAAGAACATTAAAAAAAGCCTTCCTGAAATGATGAGCAAACATCTGCCATTTGTCTGCTAGAAGTATAATTTATGTTTATCAGTGGATTTCTTTTCTAATATTCTCAATATTGACAGGCTCTCAAATCAATGTTCATCAACTCACCAGTGTCAACATAATTAAAGAGGAGTAGAAGGCTGAGAAAGCGGACTGATGACAACAGCATCTTTAGCACCAGATCAGGATACTTTAAGGTAAATTGAATTTATATCCAATCCGCAGGACTCAGTATGATCTCTGCCACTCACCAGCCACTTATATAGTCCCTGGAAGAGTCTGCAGTGATGAGGTGATCCCTGAAAAATGACCTGTGATATGACCTGTGCATTATTATGATCTATGGCTCATATATCATGGGAACAGTGAGACTGTGTGTATGTGAGCGTGTGCGTCTGGCATATATATATATATAAACTGCTCAGCAAAACAGAGCGTCAGCTTGGTGATGTAATGTGATCTCTCTGCCTTGTAATGGCTTTTTTGGATTGGTTGAGTTGCAGTGGCAGTTTTCGCCCTTTTTCCTTTTCTTGTGCTGCATCAGTGTGTTCGAGCAATAAGAGGAGTGTACACACAGTGTCCTTAAGTAACATAAGAAACACCCAGGAAGTTTCTCTGACTAAAGGTTTAAAAAAGTGTGAAGGCTTTTTTTGATTGTTTGGGAGCTATTTACTAAAAATATGTGGGTGAATATTTGATATAAATTATTTTATTTATGTTAACCTGAGAATCAAAAGAAGCAGGAACTTTTGAACAATTTTTCTATAATAAATGCCACTGTCATGTCTGTGTGCTCAATATAAAGCTAGAGCCAGCAGGTAATTAACTATAGGTTGGTCAGACAGAACGTCATGGGCCAATTTCTGACTTGGATGTTTCAGGAGTGGACGGAAATGTGAACAAGAGCAGCACAAATTGGGGAGAAGACGTGTCTGTCCAAATTGAAAATTACTTGAGTAAAAACCTTCTGGGCACGTTTGGGGTTTAATGAAACAAGCAGTACTTTGTAAACATACATAGACAAGAGGTGAAAGGAGAGAAGACTAAGCTGAACACAAACACATCTAACCACACTCCCAACCACACGGTTATGATGCGTCCAGACAGTGCACAAGAAAGTAAAAAGAGTGCCAAAGTTATGACGTCTGTCCAATAGCCTCAGTAACCCAGTGCAATCTTTCACCATTTATGAGTATATGAAGTGCGTGGGTGGTTATTTCCATATAGACAAACATTTGTGATTTTACCAAACTTAAGCAACATTGTGAGCACAGAAAGTTTAGGATAGTTACAACACATTGAATCAAAATGAATGCTAATGTTGCTCTGTATCTGAGAGGTTTGCCACTTCATCTTAAAAATGATAATGTGATAATATCTCAGTACATCTGCCCCTGTTGTTGCCACAAAATCAGATATTGTAGGTTGGAACTTGCGTAAGTTGATTTTTTGACACACAACAGGACAAGCCAAAAATACATCTGACAGATTGTCTTATAAAGTTGTTAAGGCGAATGTATTAGTGAATAATTACCTATTTAGATTTCAGGCAAACACAGGGGAACATTACTGTTCTACTGGATACACATGTTAGATGATCCACTGTGAAGCATACAGTAAACAGTATGGGAATTTTTTTTTAAACATCCAACATCCAACAAAATTTTCACACAAGATTTTAGTAGCACATGCAAATCAATGGTAAACATCAATGGTAATGGTAATTTTATTTTTCATTGTATTTTGTAATTATGTATAAAAAGCAGATTTCCTTGAACATCTCATATGTTTGCTGTAAAATTGAATTAATAAACAACTACATCTTGCAATTTCACACAAAATGACCAATGTAAAGTTGTCAATTCATTTACCACAGTAACCATATTTCCTGTCTTGAGTTGAGTGTCAGTTTCCTGTTCATAGTGTCCTATGTTATTAATTGCGTCACAACCCATCTGACATTTTGAATGTGTTGCACGAGAGGAAGGAAGAAATCTGAAGTGTGCTTGACTGCAGTACTCAAAACAGCACACAGGAACATTGCTCTTCCCATCAGACAGACATTAACAACAACATGGAAAATAAACCTGGGCCACAACCTGTTTATGCTGTGACCTTTGGCTGCCTTATGGTCATTGGTCTCACTCTCAATGCCGTGTCACTGTGGATCCTGCTCCGCCGTCACAGCATCAAAACTACCAGCGCTGTCTTCATGGTCAACCTGGCAATCTCGGACCTGCAGCTTGTCATCTCCTTGCCGATGAGGGTCTACTTTTACGCCACAGGCATTTGGCCACTGAGTGCAAGGGCATGCAACTTGATCACAATGCTCTTTTGCAACAACATCCGCTCCAGCTCCATTTTCATCACCTTCATCAGTATGGACCGGCTGCTGGCTGTTGTTTTTCCTCTGAGGTCCCGCCATCTACGAACCTCGTCCAACGCCTGGAAAGCCGCTGTGCTCATCTGGTTGTTTGTGTTTATGGTCAACATCCCAGAGAGTATGAGCCTTGCAAGAGTTTTAAGCCAACACAATGGATCTGTCTGTTTTGACATGCCTCACTATGATGGGCCTGGTATATCTCCATTTATTTACTTTGTGGCTGTGCTGTTGCTCATCATGCTGGCAGTCAACATTGTGTGCACTGCTCTGGTGTCTTGGACTCTACGCAGACGTCTGAATGAATCTGCAAGAATCCGCAACAAGGTGAATGTAATGCTGATTTTTGCCATGAACTTGATTATGTTTATCATATGTTTCTTGCCTTTGACGATTGGTTTGGTTGTAAGCAAACGTAAGGTGACACATTTGACATGTCTTGCAACTGTGAACTGCTGTCTTGATCCACTCTTGTATTACTTTTCTTTGGACGCCTTCTGGAAGAAAAAACAGGATGTGCATCTTCCAAGAGAACAATAGACAAACAACATATACCGTTTTCATATTTTCATGAGATGGCACCAGATACAGTGTATGTGATATTCTGATTTTCCTAATTTTTCAGCTAAACAGCTTGTATGGGTGTGGGTTCGTCAATTTGTTTGACTGTATGGTGGATTTTATCAACAAACCAACAGTAATTGTCTCTTCAGCAAAATGTTTTTGAAACTTTGTGAAAGAGGTGAAGAAAACGTTTGTTGATGAATATAATTTGTGCCTATAGGCTGCAACACCACAGCTTCATGTTGAGAGAGAGTTGAGCCAGTTTTAAGAGAAATAATGAATCTTTAAGTAATAGTTTGACAGTTTATTCACCCTCTTCTGGGGAGTTAGATAAGAAGATTGGTGCCACTCATATCTGCGCAGTAAATTTTTTTGCCAAAAGTCAGACGAATAGCTCTCTCATGTCCGTACATAACCTACAGCCAGGAGGCTAGCTTAGCACAAAGACTTGAAAAATGGGGAAATAGCTAGTCAAGCTAGTAGTCAAGCTAGCCAAGCGTGTAAACCCGCTAAACTGTGATCTTTTTTTTTTTACATTTTAATTTCTTTACCAATAATAAAATGAAGCTAAAACACGTGAATCGGTGCACTTCAGATTTTTTTTTGACCTTTCAACAGAGCCAGGCTAGCTGTTTCCCCCTGCTACCAGTCTTTATGCTAAGATAAGCTAACTGCTTCCAACTTTGCCATCATATTTAGTGTTAAGGTATTAAGTGGGTTTCCAAAATGTCTTTCTTAATTTTCTGCCGTTTTGTATGAATCTTGTGTTATGCCTTTTTCCTTCAGTCATCAGACCTGAACTCTCAAGACTGACAAATGTCTTGCATGTTATTAAACATCCAAGCTGGTTTATAAGCAGCTGAGAAAGATAACCAAAAAAAAAAAACCCTTACTTTTACCCTTATTGTAGCATCATCCTTTTCTCATTGTGTATTTGATTATGTGTAATCATGTTCTGACTCTATTATGTATTCCATATTATAAATCATATGATGTGACACCTGCTTTTGTCTTATTTGAGAGTGTCTCAGCAGTGGAGACAGCAGATCTCCAGCCCTAAACCCTAAAATGATCCAAAAGTAATCACTGCTAATGTGACTGCGCAATGGGGACTGGCAAAAGGGCTTGGTTTTATATTAACCATATATTATGATTATTATTCCATCCATTACAAATGCAATAAAATGTCAAATGAGGCAACTGGAGGAGAGTGATGTGAATTTTTGTTATCTGTTCAACATCAAAACCATGCAGAAGTTAAGAGAGGAAATCCCCAAATGTCACAACTTTCTCACTTGACGTAGGAGTACTGTTAGTTGTGATCCAAGAGCTAGATAGTAAGTGCATCCACCCCAAACTACAACTGTTTGTGCAAATAAATAAAAAAAGTAGAAAGCCCGTTTAAATCTTTCTCTGTGATTAAATTGCTTATTTTAATTAATCAACCTTACAAGTGTGAGGAAGGTACTCTGGACATTACAATGTCCAGTCGATAGCACTGAAAACTCTCCACCTGTAGCTGCTACTATTAATGATAACCCTAATGTACTGTAAATTCTATACTAATGCTTCTAAATTATATATATAATATACATTAGGAATATTAATGTATATTGTAGTGAAAACACCTCACTACAGAATGATGTCATTGGGTGCCAAAGGTTTTGGGGTCTTGGATTAAATAAAGAGTTATTGGATGATACATTTTTTCACTACTTTATTCACAGACAGATTTCATTGGCAGACAAAATATACAGATCAGAGTTTGTTTTGTTTAACTAACATATGGTATTATATGCTCCCTCTCAGTAGTATTGACTTTAGTCCAGTCTCTGACTCTGGACTAAGGCTTTAAACGTTGGTTTACAAAACATTCTAACAGTGCTGTTTTTCTCTTATAGATAAACACATGCAAGGGAAAACAAAGACATTACTGTAAAATGATTCACAAATGCAGTGATAAGGAGCTTTTGAAGAGCAAAAAATAAGCACAATAAAAGAGAAAAGCTGATGAAAAATGAGAGCACCAAAAATAAATATGGGTCTCCACCAGTTTCAATTATGATGGAATATTATGCATAAAAAAAGAATGCAGTCTAATGCCCAACGCAACGTTCTCTAACAATCTACAATGTACTGATGCTTTTTAAGAAGGAAATGAAAAGCAGGAAGAGAGCAAGGAAGCAACAGGCAAGAGGATTAAGATGCAAGCAACTAGTCATCAGCAGTTACGTGTTTACATTACTGAGATTATGAGAAAAAAAAAAAAAAAAAGCTAGTAACTGGAATCTGGATCATGTTTGCTCAGAAAAGCAAGGCGTCATGCTCTGCATAGATGACCATCTTGGCAGAACTAAGAGACACAAAGTAACCTCCAGGGGAGGAGAAAAAAAAAACAAAAGAAAACAGTCACCTCCCCCAACGACAGTAACCATCACACAAATCCCCAAAGAGCAAGAGGAGAGGTTTTCAAAGTATAATTCATTACTGGCTTAAGGACTTTGCTACATGGAAAATCCTGTGATAGAACCAACAGCTTAGTATTGCATCACACTTCAGGGTAAATATTACCTATGGGAAATAGAGAAAAAACAGGCAGGTAGTGAAATAAAAGAAAATCTTTAACAAAAGGTCTCAAACCAAAATCACAAGTAAAGTGCAACTCAGACATGATCTGATCCACCGGAGGGTGCTACAGTGGCTGGGGAAGTGACTGTGGGCTTTAGGTGGGTGGGGTGGCATGGATAACCGTGGTGTTTACGCTTCATCGCAGATAACAGTCTCCACCACAAATGTATTCTCAAAGTGACGGATGTGGTGGCAGTCTTTTGCCTCGCGCTTGTTGATGCCTGTGAGGGAAACAGGGTGAGACACAGAGAGTGGATCAGCAATGTGACTTTGTGTAGTGCGTGCTGAGCTTCAGATCTAAACACAACAGTTTGAAACAATAAAGCTCCTTCTTTCCCCGCAACAAAAACACAGATCATTTATCAGGTAACTAATGAGCTTTTCTTAAACGCTTTCCTCCATTAACCCCAACTCACGTCTGCGAGTGACTCGACGGTTCAGGCGGTACGTGTCCTTCCCGTTGCACAGGCGGTAGATGAAGGGTCCCAGCTGACGCATGTTGTGCACTTTGCCCGTCACCACCATGTCTTCATGGATGATGTAGGTCTGAGGCAAGTATGTTCCTTTCTGCAAGAGACAAAGAGGTGGTGGTACCATAACAACAAGCTCACTGGGATAATGTTTTCCAATGCTGAAGGGCTGGATCGTGCAAAAAAACAGCTAAAAACAGCATCATTCTACAGCAAAGTGCAATTGCAGTGATCAGTGGATTTTTGCTTTTGGGGTAAATTTTAATAAATCTTGGGGTAAGTGAAATCCAAATCTGAAATCTGACACAGGAAATTGCACCACTGACCCAAAGCAAACCACCTTGATAGTGCTGACCTTTAAGAGAGTGGAGGGCCGGGGAGTCCAGAAAGGAGAAAGATATTGTGCTGTAGATTATTAGTTGTGTGTAACCATCCACTTCTTTTATTTAACATCCTCTGCTGGTGTATATATAGAGTGGTGTATATAGAGAGTTTAAAATTAAGGACATAATTTAAACTATATCTATATATAGTTTATTGAAAAAAACGTGTGTATGTTTTTTCAATAAACTGTGTGAATTTATTTTCCAATTAGCAACCGAGCTAAGGAATAGCAAGTTAGCTGGCTAGCTCAGAGGGATTTTTCCCTCATCAATAAACACTTTATTGAAGTGCGGAGTTCGACTGGGACTAACCAGTGCTAGCATCTTCCAGGCTTGCCAGCATCGTAGCTGTTAGCTCACCAACCTTGACGTTGATAAGAAGTTCCCAGAGGTTGCGTGGAGGCATCACGATGGTGGTGTTGAGCTCAATAACGTAGCACTTGTCCAGGGCAATGTCATGGTAGGCGGTAAGTCCCTGGAAAATGATGCAGTTCATTAAAGACAAACCCCAAAGATCAGCGCTCAGGTTTAGCTTCTTATGACCTGTTGGCATCTGAATAATTTTAGCCATGCTAGCTGTGAGTCTGCAGAGATGGTGTTGTCAGTTACACAATCCCCAAATCATTTCAGCGCAGCCTGAATATTGAATTAACTGCCATTAAGATTGTGTACAGTCCCCAGAGGATGAATCCTACTGACTTCTTCCAGCTCCATAATCAGATCCATTTTTTTCAAAATGTATCCAATATTTTGGTAATGGCATGACCAAACGTCTGAAAAGCAAATGCTATTCCTGACGTTGTGTTCTTTAGCAAATATTAGCATGAACATATTAAACTAAGATGGTGAACATGTTAACCATTATAGCTGCGTTACATCAGCATGTTAGCATTGTCACTGCAAGCACATCAGTATCTTGACACTGGCATTAAACTCAAAGCACCACTGTGCTAATTATAGTCTCTGAGATCTCATCTTGTTTTATATTCAAATTTTTTCTTGTCATATTAATTTTTCTTTTTCTGTGGCTTCTTTGAAGTGGACTGCTAAAAAGCACCATAATGAGTTACTTGTGGTTGAGATTTAACTGTGCACTCTCTCTATTCAAGTTGCATAATGCATAATATGTGCGTTTGTCCTCACTCTGTGGAAGTCGTGGATTATGTCAGCAGGGTCGCTGCCTCCAAAGTGAGGCACGGGCACAGAGATCTTCTCGTAGTTGTCGGCCAAGTAGATGCCAACATTTTCCTCCAGCTCCTGACGCCCACGCAGTGGGGCGTACACAGAGTCTTCATAAAGCACCCGGCAGTGGAACAGGTTCTCCTCTGGGATCTGGACATGCACACACACACAAATCAGCACCTACATCAACACTTCAGCTGGAATATTCAGAAACAAGTCTGTAGCAAGAGTGCCCTTATTATATAGCAGTGATGTGAATAAAAAATTAAGGACATAATTTAATTTATATTACAGCGCTTGATGCAAAGACCAACCTGAGACACATACAGCACAGAGTACAGTTAATGAGGTCTTACATGAGGTATAAAGTAGTAGCGGTAGACATAGATGGAGGCAAGGACCAGACCGGCCATGAACACAACCAGGCCAAATGTCAGGCAGCACAGGCCGTTAAGGAGAGACTTCTTGGGCCTAAGCGGCAGGACTAGCTCCTCCTCATCCTGGAAAACACACACACACACACACGCACGCAAACACGCACAATACACTTATTAATACTTCAAAAAAGGCACAGAATAGGATTTCCAGGCAGCTTCAGTCCAACTTTCAGCTTACTCATCATCACCGTGACGAGCAGCTGAAAATGACCTGAATTAACCGACTGTTAAAATAGAAGCTTGCATAAATGGCAATGCAGCATTTCGAACAGGAATTACTGAGCACTGAGCCCAGCCAGCGGAAGGCATGACGGAGCGCTTGGTAATGAAAAGTTGTCTTGAGATGGTGAGTAATCTTTCCAGACGCCTCCAGTCTCGCAGCCCATCTGCTGGTGCCACGCGCCCAACCTGTGTTGGCAGGGTGGCACTACACACAGATAGTAGCCACTCACTCAATGCGCGCTGCCATTTACAGTGATAATGACTAACTGAGAGGCGGCTCAGTGCTTACTGTAGCTGTACTGCCATGTGCCTGTGGCAGGTAAAAAAAGAACAAAGGTTGCTATTCTTAACCAGAGCTATGTGGGGAAAAATAACAACGGTGTGCATAGGAAATGGATCTTTAGAGAAACTTTAGAGAAAAATGATGAAAATCATTTGAGAAAGGAAATGACACAAAAAGCTTGAAAGCAGTCGTTTTGTTTCACATGTTCATGTTTGCAATACAGTGTGTGTGTGCCATATACGCAGAATTACACGTTTCAGTTCAGTGTACTTGAGGAAATATTTGGAGACAGAGGGTGCAGAAGTACAAGGCGACAACTGTGCCAACACACAGTTCTGTTAGACTGAGTTCTTTGTGTTCTCCCTCCCCACTGAGAGAGATAGAGGCTCTTTAACACCAGCTAAGAGCGTGACACACCATGAGGCCTGTCTGTGTCCTGTCTGTTCGGTGCATTTGGATGAACAGATCTCAAAGTCACACGAGCCACTCCAGTCCTGCACTTTTGCAATATTCACTTTATATGCGTGCCTGACGTCTTATCTACATTCCATTATGCTTCAACATCTTCGGGGCTTGGCCATGTAAATTTGATAAGGGCTGAGTTGAAGCCATACTGGGATGCCCCTACAGCAAAGTTGAGGACTCCACTGTTCTGCCTCCTTAAGAGCTTTAAAAAAAAATTATCTTGCATGTGCTGCAAGCCACAACAACCCATCTGCCATTTTGTCAGCCAAAGCTTGTGCATTTCTTGCACTCTCTCTTTTTTATATAAAGCTGGAGAGTTCATCTAAATCTGCACTGAAGGAAAAAAAAATCGTTAGCAGCCATGTCACTTACAGGGCAAAATCCAATACAAAGCCTTCTATTGTTAAATTGCTTTTGGCATGTAATCGTCCATGTAGTCCTAAACAAAGAGTATGCATTTGCACATTGTGATAATAACTTGCATAAAGCCTGCAATAAGCGGCACTGGCGCAGTGGAAACCATCACAGCATTGACATGTTTTGTTTGCAACCAAATGGCGATAGACGCTGTCAAAAAAATCCCCTGCTGTTCATGGCTGTGCAGGTGCAAGCTGCCCTGCAAGAGCAACCAGGAGACAGCAGACGGGCAGGCATCGCAACATGAAGACAGCAACGACAGGCGTTATGAGAATAAGAAGAATAACAATAAGCGACGCGCTACTCACCATCGGATGAGGGATGAGAATTTCGGTCTTGTCGCCATCATTCTCCTTTTCCACTTTCTGTCCCGCGACAGACTGGAAACTGATCTTCACCATGGCTCGGTGTCACTGTTCGTGTGTCTGCCTGCTGCAGCGCCTTCACTCTTCGTCTGTGTGAACGGTGTCTGACCAACCTCTGTGAAACAAGTCCGCTCACCTAGTCGACGGGCCGCCCTCTTCTCACCGCTGGGCTGCTTCTCTATCTGTTTTTGTCTTCATCCACCGGAAGTATTTTTTTATTTTTTTATTTAAATCTTCCCTTAAAGGACCAGTCCGCTGCTTTTCGTTTACAGTAGTCGGACTCCATTCAAAAACTATTGAATTGAACAACTATCTGCTCTCAGTTAATTTAGTATGACATTCACTGTTGAATTGCGCATACACCCAATTCACCAATCAATAACCAGTAATTCTGGCCAAATAAACAATAAAACAACCTAATCTTCCTCCTTTAATATACCTAGTGGACGAAAATTAAAACACAGCTTGTTTTGTGTGATGACATTAAAGGTCTTAAAGTAGCTATAATATGTATTTTTATTATAGCAATGTATAGTCTGAAATGACAGTGACATTTTGGCTCAATCCCATTTCATCATCTTTAAAAAAAAATTTCAATCACAACTCCAGGCCTACTGGAAAAGAGGCTATAAATAATAATAATAATAGCAATAAATATTTGCATAACCTTTCATACAAGACATGCAGCTCAAGAGCTTCACAACAAAGATAAAACATTATTTATAATCATTTACTGAGTTATGACATTGTGTTTGTGTGTGTTTATGGCAGGACCTGAAATGGGACAGATGCCGGTGAAGTAACTGCAGCCACATGGCAGTTTTTTGAGGACATGCATGAGGTGTTGGGTGCCAGGCCATCAATGGACCCTCCTGTCGTGGTTGCATCTTTTAGTCTCTGATGATGATCCGGTACCAATTCTTATGGTAAGGTTTAAAAAGTAGGTGCAATCACATTTACCATGAAATGCATTAGTTGTAGCCCAGAATGTGATTGATTATGGATCTTTTGATGTCAGAATGGTAATTTACAAGGTAATGTGATTTTGGTGTTGATGATATGAGACATTGGTTTATTGTCTTATCTTTTTTTTTTTTTAAAGAAATATGTTTTGAACAGTTATGTACTCTACATAATACAGCTGCACAATTAATTGTATCAAAATTGCAATATGACCTACTGCAATTTTCAAATCATGGGAAGGCTCAAGTGTGTCAAAATACTCGTGGTGCTGCAGAGATGTCCTGCTCAAAATGATCACAATTACATTTTTTCAATATCATGCTGCCCTAGTACAGAACACAAGGTCATATCACCCAGTTCTGGAATATAATTCCTTCTCATTTTTTTGTTGTTTCAAGAGATCTTCGAGCCCATGAGTTCCGCCACCACCTCTGACACAGCATCTTCTTCCATGGCAGCTAGTACTAGCAGCCAGTACAGCTTAGTAGCCTCTCCTATATCTACCCCAAGCCCTCCAAACCCCTTCACCGAAAAAAGAAAACGAAGATGACAAATCCCATTGATTTTCTAACACAGGAAAGTGCTAAGGAGCAGAAGCACCATGAGGAGAATGAGGAGAAAACAGAGCAGTTCTTGGTCCTGTTTGAAAAGCTCATTGATAAAATATGAGTTGTGTAGTTTTAATGTGCAATATTTTTACCCTTGCATCACACAAGTTCCTGTGTATGTGAACTGTTTATGTTATTGCACGATTCAGATGCCTACCTCAGAAGCACAGCTGACTGTTGTAACCTAAAGTTATTTAAGAATCTACAAATGTAGCTTCTACTTTTATACAGTTTTTTTTTTATGTGCCAATGGAAATCCATTCTGAATGTGATGCCAGTGGCCTAATAAAGTGCAAGGCTGTTTATAACAAGACGTTTGTGAGTGTGAATAACATACATACTTAATATTGACAGTAAAATTCCTAAAACAGATTAGTATGAAAAGATTTATTAGAAAAAACATTAGGAAAAACTTGTACACATCCCTGAGATAAGGTATAACCAGTATCTGTATTTAACAACAAATGATTTCAACAAGCTAACGTAACATATATACATACACACAACTATATACACATATCCATTTCTTGATCACAGACAGCTTTACAAGGCTTGCAGACAGCCTGAGATCAGGGCAACCAGCCTGTCCCTTGTAGTATTCTCGGAGCTCTCATTTTCTGCTAGGGGGTCATGGATAGGTTGGGGTTCGAGGGTGTCCTCTGCAACATCGCCATCTGGCTCCAGCATGTCCCCATTCTCTAGACACACATTGTGTAAAAAAGGCACAGGATGCAATAATCTGAGGTGCAAATGTAGGTTTAACCTCCAAGGCTCTGAAAAGGGTAGACCTCCATCTAGTCATCATTCCAAAAGCCCTTTCAATTATGCTGCATCCCCTCGAATGATAATAATTGAAGCGCCTCTGTATTTGTCCATTAATTATTCCATGTTCTTTGCCCACATTACACATTGATTACTCACACTCAAGTTAAAACAAAGACATTGAGCCTAACTTGACTGATATTAACACATTTGATGCATAGAAAACATTTTGATTGCTTTTAGAGTAATTACTATAAATTTATGCTCAGGATATAAAATACAATTATGTATGAGAAGGCACCTAGGCCAAAACTAAATTCTTCACTTACATATATATTGGTACTAAGCACTTGCACATACATGCATACTACCGTGCATATACATACATGCAAAGGCTATATATATTCATAAACACATACATAGATATGCATGCATAATGTGAGACTATGTGTATGAGTATGAGAGTATATGAGTGCGATTATGTATGTGTGTGTTCTCGAGTATGTATCCGGTAGGCACCAAACTTTAACCGAAAGTTGCTACCACTAGGTGGTGCACCGACCAACAATAAACATGAAAGAAGAAGTAAAGATACAGGTGGAGGCAAAATGCATCATGTCAGTCAACAATGTAGCTCAGGCTGAAGCTGTCTCTTTGCTGCAGACTGCTTGCTAGGGATCGAAAATCGATGAATTCAAAAATGTGCTACTTTGGAAAAGGGTGCAATCGCCATTCACACCAGGGTCAAAGGACACTGCAGGAGATGCGGCGCTGATCGGCAACACTCGGGTGAACCCGCTAATTTTCACCCCTTTTCTGCTGTAATGTCTCTCAGAGCGCAGACACTGTAAACACACCTGTCACCTGTCAAACCCAGACCTGCTGTAAAACACCGCGGCTACACTGCGCTCAGGGATGAAAGAGTAAAATGCAGCCCCAAAATTAGTTTTTAAGAACATATAATAACCGATCAGCGGTTTCGACACTTATATACAAGCACCAACCCGGAGAGGAGATGTGACAGATCCCTTTTACCAGTTTGCATGGCGGTTAGGAGCTCACTCTTCGCCCCGACAGCAGACATCGCAATCCTCTACACTGAAGCTTCAAAAACACCGAGCAAGAGAGAGAGAGAGAGAAGCCATCACTAACTGCAGGAGCTAAAGCAACTAGCAGATGAATAGCATGCCTACCTGTAACCAACCAGATCAGACATCCCACACCGTTTCCACTCTGATGCACAGAAAGCTAGCCGGCTAGCCAATATTACGAACAAACTCAAGACAGGAAATACAACTGCTCACGTCTCAGACCCATGGCAAACTGTTAACTAACATGTTGTTTATCGATCGTTTTAACATAAAGATTGGAAGTGTGATTTAAATGGAGATATTTTAATATGATGCAGGCTGCTGTTAACACTGCTTAACTTGTACCGTGACAGAAGAAAACATTGAACCAAGATGGCGTCCCACACGGAACTCACCTCAAAACTACGGTGCCCCACAGCGGTCAAACAACACCAAAACCGGGATTCACACGGGAATAAACATCGCAAATGCCACACCCAGTGGCTTATTTAGGCTACTGCCCCACACCCGCATGACTATATGTATACATGTACAGTATATCCCTGATAGTATGCATGTATGTGCAAGAGCTTAGTACCGGTATATTTGTATGTGCAAGTGAAGTATTAAATTTTGGCCTAGCAGCTTCTCATAGAATTGACTGAAACTGAGTAACACACATTGATATTGTGGATAATAGAAAACTGAAAAATAGATTGATTCCGCACAGAATAGATTTTAGTTTGCTCATGTTACGGTATTATTTGCTCAAAAATATTTTTTCTTCAAAATATAATTTGTGTGTTTGCAAAATGTATTTGTCTGTGCACAAAAAGTCCCACTGAGCCCTCAGGAATGAGGCACAAAAATAACTCCATACTTTTACAGTATATATAATATAAACTACAATCATGGTTTCCCTTTTAATGATATTCAGTTTGTGATGTGCAAACGTTTGTTTGGCTATTTTACATCCAGGCGAGTAAATGTCGCACTGTTCACATAACACATCAAGAAATGAACATTTTCTCGAACCACTTTGCTGAGAAAGTAAATTCAAAGCCTCCGAGTCTGTTGGACTTACCTCCGGTGCCGGGCAGTTGATTTCCTCGTGCAGACAGCATGTAAAGCCTGGTGGACGTTTCAGTGTTTGGACCGTGAACTGTTCTCAGAGGGAAGGCATGGGCTCAATGTGGCCTTCCTGCTTTTTGTCTTCCTTATTTAAAGCAAAGTTGGCGCCTTTCGGCGAAACGCCTGTGTAGCGACTACTTTTCCTAAAGGCCGCTGAGAGACTTAGTAGGCTCCTGTCTGTGACACGTCCACAAAATCATACGGAAATCCAGATGATGTTTACCGGAGGTTTATTGAATGAAAAAACTCAAAAAGGACTAACAAGCAGCTGTTCCATAAAAATATAAACACCTGTTGTGATCTGACTGTGAGAATAAAGTGTTGATAATACGATGGTGATGGTGATGATGGTGACTATGGTGAAATATCGGAGCTCTACTAACTCCCTTTGTCTAAATCTCCCGCCGCCACCCAAGTGAACAGGTAAAATAAGGGGAAACCACACCCATGTGTCAATCTACGGAAGTGACGCAATACGTGCAGCCCAAGCAAATATAAACATAAGCAAAAACATATTTTGGCTCCTACAGCCTATATGTGCACAGTCCATTAAATCAGACAGATGTGCGCACCTCTGGTTTTTCCCTGCACACACAGTTTCCTGTTCGTCTGATTTCCAAAACTGTCACGGGTACGAAAAGTTTCTGCGTTTGTTTGTTCCCCAGTTTACTTTTCTTATGCAGTTATTCAAATTATTCTGGCAAAGACTCGGCCGGGTCTGGACCCAGAGATCCGGCTGAAGTGAGGTCCGCCTGGTTTTCGGAGTCCAACAACCCACAACCAGGCCTGAAGCACGCCACACGTGCCGGACGGCCATTAGGCCTACTGTTCTGGCGGTACGGGGCCTGAACGACGTTTGTTATTTTTCTGCTATTTTCCCCATGCCAGCCTTTCCCCACAACATGCTGCTTTATTAAAAGACACATTTACACAACACAACTACTCACATTCTCATGGACACAAAGTAAACCAACATGAAGTCCACAAGCAGCAGAAAAATAATCAATAAACTGCGGTGGTAAGTGAAGGTAAACTGCAAGTATAAGTCCAACAGCAGCTGTGCATGAAGTTCAAGTTACTAATAAATAATAATCCCAACGTTCATAAACAAACATTAATTTGAAAGCAGTTTTGACTAAATGAAAGGCTTAAATGTCACATATGTTACTCCTGGGCCCAAGGACAGTTAAATCTGAATTATCTGTCCTAAAGTTAGAAATCAGAGAGAATCTACTGGGCGGAACTATATCGTATGCCGTTTTCTGCTTGAAAAAAAAAAAAATTGATTAAAAGTCAGAAGTGACAAATGAAAATGTGGAATGCAGAAATTGCATTGTTTTTTTTTATTGAGTCAGGCTACTGAAGGTATATAGCTGGAATTACTTTGAGCCACTAAGTATCAGAGCCCCACTCATTGTTATAGAATAAACTGGGATGACATTGTACATTTTAATGTTTCTTACTTTATAGGAGAGTGCTGCATGTTCACAAATATTCACCAGTTAGTTCTTGGGCACAGGAATAACAAATGTGAATTCTTAAAAAGGGTTGGATTCTCCTTTTAAATGCACAATCCATGATTATGATATAGTGCTCCATCCTCAAAGCATCTGGAAAAATAACTAAAATTATGAATATTAGAATCATTATAGAAGCCTATTGGGGTCTATTAAGATAACCATGTACACTAGAAAATGAAAATGTAATTCTGTGATATTAATGTTCTTGGATAACACTGGACTTTACTTGATGAATATGAGCAAAGCAGCAGAAGCAGTCAGCAGGACATTTCCAGGAATGGATGAGTGGAGCTAAGAGAGTGAAAGAAGACAAAAACAGGAGGGAATGTGAACAGAGTGATCCAGAGTAGATCAGTAGAATAAACTGTTGTCTGATAATATTAGTACATGTCAATGTTGTTTATCCTATGATGTTATTCTTTAAAGGAATTTATTATCATTAGAGTAAATGTTCTTCTGTTGGCCTAATATTCAGTCCAGAGTCATGAAGACATTTATTTGTCCTTGTTGTGGATCCATGACTGCTCAGTTAGAGCAGCACATATTATTATGGTCTGGATTTAAATGTAGATTTTAATCAGTGAACTCTACTCCAGCATAGTGTAACAAAAATAGGTGTAAAGATTTGTGATGCTGTTTATGCCAAATTCATTCCCCATCTATGTCATGTAAATTCAAAATAGTCACATCAGACAGTCTTTGCCTCTTTTTATGTGACAGTAGTGAAAATTAGTCATTGTCAAAATCTGTTGTGTTGTGGCTTCAGAATGATGGAGACGGAGAACAATTAGATTCAAAACATGATGCAGGTTTAAGATGATTTTTTTTTCATGGGCAACTTTCATGTTTTTTCCAAATGATGTTCAAATGGCCTGATACAGTAAACAGTGCACGTAGCTGCTGTGAATGGGGAAAAAAATTCCGAAGGAGATTGTCCCCTGAATATCGACTTAAATTGGGGCTAAGCCCCAAATGTTTACAATGTCTGGCTTCGCCCCTGCTCAGCAGGCAGCTGTTTCCAGCTAAAAGCCTCTAAAATCCACTGTACACCACCTGCTCAGCAACAAACTGCAAACTATTGTTTCCTAAAAAGTGAAGATATCAATGCTATGTTCCCCAAGTGCCCAAAATCAGATATTGCAAGTTTTTCTATGACCTCAGTTACTTATGCTAATAAGAAAAGTAAAAGCTGTAATTAATCATCCATGAGAAATGTCAGTGAAAACAGTGGTAAGGGTTTTAAAGACTTTACTTACATCATTGTTGTGAATGGCTGTTGTGAATTGTGTGAACTGATTACCAAACCATTTTGGAACAAGTGATTGCAATATTAGTGTACGATAACTGACAGTTGCTAATAAATACAAAAAGGCAGTGCACACAGGAAGAAAATGACCACAGCTTTATTTTATTCCAAATGTTTTTTTTTTTTTTATTTCGATTGTAGGGCCCAGGCCTTTGACACTTCTGAAAGCACCCACACACTCTATGCTGAAACTGGAGTCAAAGTCAGCATACAGCCATACAGCCAAGAGCTCAATTTGACATTTCAATGTTGTTAAATATTTGGAAAAAAGAAACAATTCCAGTACAACATCTTTAGTACAGCATCATGCACAGCCAGTGGAGGAACATGCATGTTCAATGCGCATGGAGGAAGTGTGGGCTATCTGAGTCGTGCTGTTGTCTGCACTGAGATGGTTTCTAATTGCCAGTTTGAATGTGTAAATATGTCTCGTTACACAGACCGTGTCAGTCACGGCAAATTAACAAATCTGTGGTTTCATCAGTTTTGCTCAGCACCATGAGGACAATCCAACATGCCCAAAGTACTCTGCTACCCACAATGCTTTACACTCATAATTGTACTGGAATTATAAACCCTTTGAAGAGAACGGCTCAAACATGAGGTGAAGGGGGAAAGTAATAATGATGTGCCGAGTTGCCAATGTCCTGATGAGCTGACCCCCCCCCCCCGAAGCACACTCACTATGGGGCCACACAGCACTCCCAGGCCACCAGCCAAGTGGTGAGAACAAGTGGGGGGGGGGCAACAGATTAATGCAATGGGGGGGGGGGCGCAATCCCCAGTCCTCGACTCCAGTTAGGTGATGTTGATCGCTCTGCACCTCACAAAGTGCACAAACACACAAGCTTTAATTTTTCAGTTAATACTCTCCCAATTCCCTCCCTCCCCTTCTGCACTGCTCACACCCCTGCAGCAGTCTGAGAGATACTCAAAATGTAGATGGAGAATAAAAAGAGGATTAACAGATCCAGAGCTAATACCATGACATTCCTCCGCTGTACAAATTGTTAATATCCTATAGGTTAGCTAAATGTGAGCTGGCCCTTTAAGTTATATACAAAGAAACCCACCAGCAACCATTTCAGCAGTAAAATGAAATGCAAAAACAATGTCACTTAACTTGTTTGTTGTTTCTTTTATGGTTTAGAAAGTAATTTGATTACAATTAACCAAAAACATGATGTTTAAGGTAATATATATATATATAATATATATTCATATGTCAAGGTTAAACAAAAATCTACAAAGCAAAAAAAGGCATATGTACATGTTCACCCTGTCCCAGAAAACAATAAAGAGACCCAACTCTCAGGCTTTGACAAATTCATACCTTGCATCCCTCCCTCCTTCCCTCATGTGCTTCAAGTGCTGTGTCATAACAAAGCGCACAGGAGGTAAATGGTTCTGTGTGATGGCATCTGAGAACTTGTCCCCACAAATCGGTAAAATGAACCACTGATGCTTTATTGGATGAAGGCATAGATGCGAACTGTAGCGGTTGCTGTGATGCACGTGCATTTCCGAGTCTGTGGCACTGAACATGGGAGCCAGACTGGGCAGGCCATCACAGAGCCGACGCCAGGTACAGCCTTGGATCTGTCACATTTCAAGGCATGCAACAAACACACCAATGTTCAACTTGCTCGTACCATTTCCATCACAAGGTTCTAGCTGATATTCTTGCAGTATGTGTGTATGCATGTTTTTTTTTTTTAATGTAATACATATATGCGTGTAAACTTGTGTCTATTTTTGATCCTTGGTGTCGATCAGGAAGTCTGCCTTACTTTAAATGCACGGACATTTTCTGTCACTATGTTTGATGGACTGTTGTGTCATTATAATATACTTTACATGTCTCAATGTGCAAGAAAGCAGCAGCATCTATTATTTTCTCTTATTTCTTTTGAAGGAAAAAGACTGAAAAAGAAAAAAAATAATCAAATGTTCTCTGAGGAGCAGAGGAGCTGGCGACTTCCTGATGAGTTGATATGGGTACGTTTGTATTTCGTTGGTTTTTCATTTGTTTCCTCGATTTTTGTTCAGAAACCAGAACAGCAGCTGCTGATGGTTCCGTTAAGCAGACGTTGTCTGGATGTGTTCCAGACATGGTCCTGGTGGCTCCTCCCCCCACCTCTGCTCTTCCCTCAGGCTTCCTGCGGGGCAGGCCTCTTGAGGTCCCTGATCTGTTTGACCAGGTAAGTCTTTTCATCATTGAACTGTTCGTCCTCTGTTCTGTCGTTCTGGAACTTGCTGAGAAACTCGATGAGTTTCGTCTGGTTCTTCAGCAGGATGTCCAGGATGGGCTGAGTCTTGTTGGGGTTGGCCACAAACACCTGGTTGTGGAGGAATAGGACAAGGATATCAATATATGAAGAAAATGTCCGCTACGCTTATCGCTGAGCACATATTTGATACAGCTACAAGGATGTGTGTCCACTAGGCATCTGTGTTGAATGGATTTACAGAAGCTGCAGCTGCTTTAAGTGACACCACATTAAAGAGTTTTATGTTAAGACTACTTTAACTTTTCAAAGAGGTGCTCATGATTGTCACTTTTTATGAGTGATCAAAGTGGAAAAAGAGGGAATTTAAAGTTGATTGATATCACTGCTTACAACTGTGGAAGTCACTTAGTCAAGGGTTGTTCCAAAATGCCATACAAGCATGGTAGATGAATTAGCAATAAGTATACATAAATAAAGGAATAAGTAGGGCAGGGATAAAATCAGTATGTCTACTGTCCATATGTCCGCTCATAATCTAAAAATAACTTATGAGTGGACATTGACAAAAACATTAATTGGACATTAGCCAGTTTTCCTGGTGAGTTTTTGTCTGTTATTTGTTTTCATATATTTTTTGCAAGGTAAATCTGTAAGCCTCTCATCACCTCTGAGGGTGTTTTTTTTTTTGTACCTTTACCACTAAGCGCTTTATTGTTTGTTCAAGACACCTCATGGACACACACCGTAAACTGTGCTTTGATTTTTACCTTAAAAACATGGAAAGCCTCAAACTGGATGTTGCGGCTTTTGTCCCGTAGCAGATTCATCATTAGTTTGAGATTCTCTGGCTTGCTGATGTATTTCGTCATTATGGTGAAATTGTGCCGGTCAAGAAGCAACTCCCCCAGTAACTAGATCATTTCAGAGTAAGAAACAGCAATGAATATTAATTTGAAGATTTTTTCAAATTGGCAAACAGTTGCACATTTGCCAAATTGGCAGGATGTAATTTACTTTACCCACATAAAGTTTAATTTATTTGAAAAATCTCCATCATAATTGAAAATACAGGCTTGTTTTTTCTCCTTTACTAGTGCCAAACAAACCTAAACAGCATCATCAGAAATGAATAACAAAACATCACTTACAACTTGAGAGATAGCAGGTTTCAATCTTAGGTAATATTTTTTTGGCAGTGGGAGATCTGTCTCACTATATTTGGAATACAGATGGTGGCTTAAGAAATTATGCACCAATCAAAAACATAAGGGAAGTGAAGAAAACACTAAAAAAATTAAAGGAGTTTTAAAAGACTTTGTCCCACCACTAGATGGCAGTCATGACAAGTTGATGGGGATGAAATGATTTAGAGAAACCCAACACTCTGACAAGACCCCACCTTTAAATAGCTCTCTGAATACAGTTTCACTACTACATGGGACCTATTTACAGGCACGAATCGGGGTCCTTACCTTGAGGGACTGCCTTTTAGTCACGTAGTTTTCTGAGTGGAGTAACTTCTCATATTCACTAAAGAACTACAGAGAGAGAGAGAGAGAGAGAGAGAGAGAGGTAGTGAGAGAGAGAAAAGACAGTAAAAATAGAAGTGGTTGACGGTGAGAGGGGGAGTGTCATCTAAATGCATTAAGTAGTGGTTTTTGTATCCGTCTCTTGTATCAAAACACAATGAAAGGAAATTTTGGCAAAGACTGACAGGTACTTTGTGTCTACAGCCTGCAAATGATATCCCAAATGGCTGGTTTGATGTTGTTAGGAAAGGGACTGCCAACATGCCAAACACCCAGACCGCCACAGTTTTAATTCACATGTAACTGGTCGAACGAAAGCAGTTTGTTTCTTCTGAGCGTTTTTAGAAGTGGTCGTCTAAGACACCCTGAATTCCAATAAAAGACCAAAGCTTTGAACAACTGGTCCATAATGCACAAAAGCAGCAGCTAAACACATTGAGATGAATGATTATTTGCTCTAATCATTTATTATGATCAACTCTGTACTGTTGAATATTTTCACAATAATAAAAATCTCGATCTCACTTTGGGTGAATCCATTCTCATTAAATACTGGCTTTAGTTGAGTGTGGACTTACTCTGTCATAATGTTGCTCCAGAAACTCTGCACTCAGTAGCTTGTGTCTTGTGAGGAGGTCCTGGAAATAGACAATACTGACTATTAGAAATGAATTCAGATGAATGGTTTTGACTTAGCCTGGCCCCATTTGTCTCTATTTGGACAATGCAGGAACAACAAACTCAAACAGATGCAAAAAATAATCCTTGGAAATGCATTGCAATTTTGTTAAAAAACAGAAAACCTCTGAACCTAAAATTAGACTGAAAAACGTTTTGGGTTACAGTGTGATTAGTGATATTTCTGGACATAATCCCTTTCAAAGACATAAGACGACTGCTTTATCTGTAGCAAATTAATCCTTTTTTTTGGATGGAATAAAAATTGCTTTGTATTAAAAGAAATCCTGCCTTTAATGCCAGGATTAAAATCTGACCACTAGTATTCATTTAGCAGTGGTGTCAGTTTTTTTGAATAGATCAAGATGGACTTCTAACTAAATTCAAGTGGAACATTTCAGAAAGTTTTCACAACAGCCACCATGACTTTCTGTTTTGAAACTTCGAGGCAGATTCCTGACAGCTCAAGTGGTTCATTCAGGTCTCTAAATCATAACTCAAAACTCTGCATAAAAACCCAGTCTCTCTCATTATAACAGCTCCAAACCCACAGTCTCTCAGACTGTTTGTGTCAATGCGTCGTTATAATTGCAATATCAGCAGTAGCAGCAGCTGCTACTTGCCACCGACGCATCATCAAATTTGCTGTTTGAGCTGTCAAGTTGGTCACAATGTTTCAAATTATATAATGTAAAACAGCCACCGCCACCACCAACAACAAAGTAGCAGGAAGCTGGAGATGGGGATGCTGAAGACAGATGTCATGAAACTGTAAAAAGCATCTCAGCTCATCACCTAAGTACGTCAATTAGTTACTTCTGGAATTATGTTTTTGGTTTCTTTTGCAAAGAAATCAGTGGCTTTGACAAGTTTAGGGGTATAAGCTTTTACTCAAAGAAAATCAGTCAATTGAGTCAACTTACTTTGAAAGTGGCAAATGCGTCTGAGGCGATGTCGAACGTGGACATCTCCACATATCTGAAGAAGTCATAGAACTGCTCTGACCACAGTGTGATTTTGGCCAGTGGTTCATGTCTGATGCACTCCCTCAACATGATACCGCAGTTTAGGGCAATCTCTGGAGACTCATACCTGGATGAAACAGCCAAATAGGACAAATGTATATTGATCTGTTGATAGCTAAGGCTGCTAAGCTGAAACAAGTAGTAAGTGAGGTGCCAATGAAATACAGTGTTACACATCACAAATCCTGCTAATTAGGTCATTAGTGAAGATAATTTAGTTTAGTTTATTAGTTACTTTGTAAATACAGTGCTTCTGGAAAAACATGTTTTCACACAATACCTATATTTGCATATGGTGTAGGTTCTCCCAGCACACCACTTTGTTATCATGTTTAAATTAGGTCCCTTAGGTGTAATTCAACAAACATAAAATAAAGAAATACATCATAGTGTGTGACAGAGACAAAATATGTAAATCCAGGGAGTGGTTGTGATAAAGCTGCTGTAAGTCTGGGCGTATCAACTTGTGGCAAAGGTGTGAAATAGGACAGTGGTGCATCATATTGTAACACCTGAATGCATGGAGGTTCAAGCAATGCGCTTGGTTCTTCAGAAAACAGTTAAATGACAGTTGGGTTGGCAAACATTACATCTGTGTAGGCATGTGCATCATCACCAGTACACCAACAACAACCCTAGACCCCACCAACTATAGCTGAACTGAAATATACACCTGTGTATTTATAAGTTGTCTTACTTAGGAAATTCAGCCCAAGAGCCAAATTCATTTCTTTATGTATTTTGGATCAATGACTTGAACCGCAAGTTAATCTTAGAAGCGACTGTCTTGTTTGTCACAGATATCATATATCAATAACAGCTGCCAAATATTTGTTAAGCAATTAAAAAAAAAAAAAAAAAAAATCAGACACAAATACATTGGGGGATTTTTAACTACTTTTTAGCAGTGTATTATGCTCTATTAAAAGTGGATTGGAGAAGATTCATGGAGCACAGGAACAACTGATGAACAATACAATATTGATCAACAATAGTTGAAACTTTATCAGAGGGAGCTAGACAGGCGCAGCTTCTACAAAAAAACAATGTTGCTTCAATGGCATAAACATTTGGGCTTCTTCTGCTTTAGGCACAGTCAGACCATTTGAAAACATGCTCTCATTTCCTTTTATGTTAGGAAGTGATTTAGGAAGTCACTCGAACAAGAATTTAAATGATCAAGGGGAACATGATCAGTGTGCGTTTGTTTGTGTTTGTGTGTGTCCTTACCCTTTAAGCAACATAAAGAGGATATTCTGCTGGGTGCAGAGGTACTCCACTGTGGGTGTCCGAGTGCCAATCTGACGCCTTAGGATGTTGTTGAAGATCTGAGCCACATCTTTCTTACCCTGGTGGCAACAGATAACAAATTAACACAGGCTTCATGAAGCTAAATTTTATGTATACAATGGAGAATACAATACAGCAGTGAGGTCGGAGTGGAAAGCCAAGATGCAGGTCTAAATGTAAGATATGGTGCTTTTTGAAATATGACAGATATGTGAAACTAGCTGATCATTTTTTCTTAAAAATTTGTGGATTTGATATTTCTTTGCTATTGCGATGAAACTTTTCATTTTAGGCATTTAAGCATACGAAGAAGAAAGATAATGACAAGGATATTGACAAATGGCTACAAAAACAAAATGTCACAGTGACAGAAATCCAGCATACTCTAACTGAGTGAAACATTTTAAAAAATATATATTGAGTCACTGTCATTTTTCTCTGTTGCACTCTTGTGATTTGTAATTTTCTTTTTTAAAACAGGGAGGGAGAAGGTAAAAGAGGAAGAGAGAGATCACACAACACAGTGAGTCATGCAGTCATAGGGAGAGTCAGGGAAGCCTGCAGCAGCAGTTTCCACACAGCATCAGTCATAGACACATTGCAGGGAGACATGAGTTTACACACCTATCAACATAGGCAGGTCTGTCACGTATACCCAACTGTCCTCACTACCTGAGTGCACATTTTCAAAACATTTGCATCCCTTTCTCTCACAAGACACATTCTTACATTCTTACTGTGTGTACAAACCTTAGATAAACTAAGACCACTTCACTGCACACCTTTAGCATTAAATATTTCATGCTTTATTTCCCTTTCTTTCGATCTCATTCATTCAATATTTTTCTCCTCCCTTTGTTCTAATTCTATAAAGGAAACATTAAGTCTCACCTCAAAGTCGATGAGCTGCAGGTCTGCTATCAGGGTGCTAAGTAAGCCGCTGTTGTAGAGCTCCTGGGCTAGCTGGGCCACTGCCTCTGTCTGGGGCTCTTTCTCATTAGTCCCATATAGGATCTCCTTCATGGCCACCAGGCTCTTTGACACCTCCTCTGTGGCCTGAATATATGCATATATATATAAGTACACACAGTCATATACACACTATCAAGCAGACATCAAACTATTTCAAGCTTTAGAAAAGCTCCCCCCAAAAATCCCCTTTTTGGCTCCAACTGACATTTCAAAGGTGATGAATCAACTGAGACTGTGTGAGATTCACTGTACCTTCTCTGCCTTTTTGTCAGAGATGTCATGTTTCTCAAGCACTGTCATGCTGTCCTTAAGGTTCTTGACGATGTCCGCCGGCGACTTGTGGGACTTGCCAAAGGGGAAAGGCATGGCGGAGAGTTACCACGAGCAACCAGGCAGCGGACTGTCCACCTGAGGGATGAAATGTAAAACAGAGTCAGAGCTCTGTAAAGATGGAGAGACCTATGATAGTGTTGTTGCACTGTATATTGTCTTTCCAGAAAGTATCTATCCAATACTGTGCTCAAGCTCATTATACAAAAGCAGAGAAGTGGGTGGTGTGTTAGGTAAGGAAGTTGATTACAAATACAAAGCCTGTGACTGACAAATTATTTAGAAGTCATACTCATGCAGACAACATCAGACAAAACAAGTCTGGAAAAAACAATAGATCTTGATAAGATCTTGACAGTTGATACAGGGCAACTACATGTGGAGCCTAAGTTTATACCAACTTCATATATAGCAGGGTGCCGTGTCAGGTCAGGATGTAGTACTATTCAATGGACAATATGAAAATAGAACTATCTTGACATTGTGTATATATATATATATATATATATATATATATATATATATATATTAGACAATGAAAATTAACCACAGTCATTTATTAAATCATCACCTGTTCTACCTAACTCTGACTTTAACTACCACTCACTCATTGTTCATGTGGTGAGACAAGTGACCAATATTGCATAATATTGTTACACCATATCTTGCAATAGGTTATTTATAATTTACCCCCAGTACTGAGATACTTTTTATGTTCCTGAGACAGATGTATTTCCTTTCTTTTCTACTAAAGATTACTCTTTTCTACTCTAGACATATAAACTCTAGCAAATCAGACTCTTTCCAGTTTATGGCAGTTTGATGTTGAAATAACAGGACAATATTCATGCTGCTGTTTCTGTGTATGTTAAAATGATCCCATCTGTTTATACCACTCTCTGAACCGAACACTTATAATAATGCACATAATAAAAATAATATATACATTGCACCTTTTTATAATATAGCATATAATACAGATATGGTGTTGTATAGTAGATGTGTGTCTTCCTATATAGGATTTATAAAATAATCATCTGAGTTGTGATACTACTGTTGTTATTGTGGGCAAATAATCTTGACAGTATAGCAAGTTACACTGTGATTAGCCCTAATGTAGTATCAAAAACAACTTCCAACTAAGAGACAGAAGCAGGTGTGCTGTTCGAGCTTATCTCCAAAAAAGGTACTGTCCATGGGCCAAGTCCTCCACAACTTATGTCCATCTTTTAGACTTAATGCAGTTGTTGCTCTTGTGTGGTCATCTGGAGCAAACATGTTTACACTACAAATATTCCAATGAAAAGCACCATTAGCTCCTGCTGTAAAACAAACTACATTGGCAGGTAGCCATGATGCCAAACTGTGACTTTTAAGCCCTAACGAAGAAACTGCAGCTGGTATTTAATGCTAACACAGTTTCATACAAGGCAAATATTTAAAATACAAAAACACTGGAGAAACAAATTATATATTTTTTTGTAAATGTCACATCTAGATGTGACCGTTAATGCTTTACTGGGCATCAGTACAGTCTTATGGATCTTTGCTATGATGTAGGCCTACATTCAACATGACATAACCTCAGAACTTTAATATGACCCACTCCCTGTACAGTGAAAAATATATCTAAATAAACACATAACTAAACATATTGTACTTCAGAAATTCTCCTCTCTACAAAAACCTCTAACCCTGAGTAAAAATGAACCATGCTACAAAAACCAGAGCAATGGCATGGTCGATGCAACTGACAGATGTGACAACCATATCTCACTGCTGCTATTATTTAACTGGGTTACTTAACAAGGACCCTTATCTACTCAATTCACTGACACTCCCAACCACCTTACACACACTGTGGGGCGAAAGCCAAGTTTTCTGAACGGATAAGAAATAAGCTGAGAGAGCCTGGGCTACAAAAGAGTGTAATTAGCAACACAGCAGCCTAAATGTGCTTCTTTGCTAACAGAACAGGTCATGTGGGGTGGCTACACTACCTATTCTAAGAGCCCGAGACAGAAAAACACATCAATAAAACTTAATCCCAGTCTCATGATCATTTGAACTAAAAATATTTGCATTAAGCATGCTGCACCGTGAGCCACCTGTTTCCAATATGATACTAAGGTTTGCCACAAAACACCAACACTAAGTCATTTAGTCACTTATAGGTACACATCAAACACTAGGTATAGTATGAAACCAACCTGTTGTCCTGCCGGAATCCTCTAAGCTCTAAACACAAACCCTTCAACCGTCACACTCTTCCTCTTAGGTCTTGGCAGGGAGTCCACATTTAGAAAGCAACGCTGAGGCCAGGAATATAAACCAAGCAGCACCGAAGTGGGAGGTGCAGGTCACCATTCATATATGATGTGTCATGAGTGACTGGGCTGAAATATTACACCTGTCCCTGGCTTCACTGGTGAATCAAGCACTCGAGTTGTGCTTGCTTACATCCTCATTAATCTAGACACAACTCAACTTCGCCAGGTGGCCAAATCCGTCTTTCGCACAGGTTAATGCCCGTTAATGTAGCCAGCAGACAGCAGAACCGCCCCTCTGCTCCTGACCCGCTTGAGTATCAGTGACGCAAATAGGGAGGCAACACATATGGCAGGTTCACAATCAGCTGGTCACCGTTAACCAACAATGACTCCTTTACTAATCAGGTATCGTGTGTTTGAGTAATGTCAGGCCAACAAACGTCAGGGGTGATGTGGGCCTGACTTTTACACACACTGACCTAACATGGCCCTGCAGACGGAAACACGTCCAAATACCTGCCGACTGTCTTAAAGGGGAAAATTACCATCCTGTTAGGCAGCACAGACTTTACATATCCACAGTCACACCAACCTTGAATATAGTTATCCACCAGAAAACCATCAAAACAGTGTCAGAAGACCGCTCAAACGTCAAAGTCACTCCCACCGTTCAGTCCACAGGGCAGCAGATGCTCTGCTATCATCTGGCTGCAAGCTAACGAACACTGCGAGCAACTAGCTAATGCTAGTCCAGTCATTTAGCTAACTTATTTACATGTGTCGCGAAGCTATTTCTGCTACATATATTATTCAACGTAAACACTCACATAACTTGAAAACTTAAACAAGTTGCAAACCTACTGCCCTGTAAGTTGGTCAACACGAACCTGACAGAGAGCACCGCCCATCTGTGTTGTCCATGCCTGGTTTGTGATGGTGTAAAGCCTGCCAACTTTGCGCAATGCTAACAAAATGGATACTTGCTCATTGAGTAATTCTGTGTTTAGCAAATGCACAACTTTGACGCAGAGCCACAATAATATATATAATGCTGCTACCTTTACTCTTTATTTGACAGCTCTCTGTAACTGTTAGTAAGCTAACGTGGCCTATAATATTTCAATCACTGTCCACCTAACAACAGTGCTGCTGCTGCTGCTACTGGTTTTCTTGTGAAAGAGTGTGTGTATTGTCGACACACAGAAGGCCTCAGCGGGCCTAATGCTTGCAAACATTATCTAGCTGCTTTAGCTTCATTTAAAAAAGCTTAGAGTGTAGGGAGTACGTTTATGATAGTCGATTTTATAACGTAATATTGCTAGCGTTGGTTAGCTAACTTAGCATAACGTTAGCCAGGCCTGGCAACAGCTCCTCGCGCTAGTACTATCAAGCCCATGCCTGCCTTTAGCAGACCATCAACAGCAGGCTAGGTTCAGCTAAAACGTTTCTGGTCGGCTCACTGTGAGCTGTCCAGCAAGCTAACGTTAGCAAATATAGCTAGCTAGCTAACTTTAAGGCAGTCGTTTTTGGCTAAAGAAGCCTTACAGTACAATGCTTGCATATATTTATTCATAACAATATATATACACAACATAATACCTTGTAAACGGCGTTTTCAATAATTCCCCCCGATTTGTCAAGACAGCAAATGCAACTCAGGGGCTCCTTGGAACAAAAACTGCTTTGTTTTCCTTGTTCGTCGCCTCCCCTTGTTTGTACTATAGTTAATTGTGCGGCCCCTGTTTCCTAGTTCTTTCTCTGTCGGACTGGTAACGCCAGCAGCGGAGCGGTGATCACTGCAACAGCGTCTACCGCCTCCTCTGGCCGTCTGATGTCATGGCAACAGTGGCGGTTGTTCTGCGCGGGGATGGCAGGTGATCGTAGGAGGGCGCGCTCACCCCGTGGACAGATCATTGGACATTTAAATGTGACGACAGGCTGGTGCTGCTCCAGTTCTCTTCTCATAATGTACAATGTTGTACAGTGTATGGAGAGCATAGGAGGCGAAGTACTTTAGCATCCTACTCAACAAGACAAGTTTACAATGGAGAAATAATAATGTACAAATTGAGGTGACTGTGAGAAACTTGTATTTTACTCTGTTTTACACTTTTACAGCAATTCTACATTTATTTGTCAGCCACAGTTATCTGTTATTGCAGATTAGAATTTAAGATTGTCTCATAAAACATGACACATTTTGACCATCAACTATCAAACAATATTAATATGAATAGGATTTTTTTTTTCCCACTTGTTGCTCTACATAAATATTGAGCTGAGGCTGATATCATACAATTCAGACCTAGTGCTGTATATGGCCTGATATGATATACTTTTACTGCAGTTGAAAACATATTGACCCAGATACAATATCTGATCAGGATCTTAATTATCTGACTATTAATTAAATTTTAATGTGCATTATTGTAAAGAAATTATTTTAAAAACTATACATTTTGGGAAAATGCAATATGTCTAAATACTTCATCCTACAATAGATTTTTCACAAAACAAAATTAAACGCTTCATAAATGTTTTGCCTAGGGGTGGAGGCTGGGGTGGATTCATGGTTACCAAAGGTTGTAGCCGTAGACGGTCGCCAGAAGCTGGAGCTGGATCTGAAGGGTGACATTGATGATTTCAGCTTCAGCTGGTTTTCTGAAAATAAAGGCTGCAGGCCGAAGAAACTGCTGGCACAGGTGGGGGATACAACTGGTATTTTGAAAGCATTGTGTGGAAGTAGTTAGGTCTGCAGAGGGACACTGATGAGACTGGCTGCCAGGGCCTGAAGATAGTGTCTGAGAATGCATCTTGCTTGAAGGCTGTCTGATGAAGTGTTCAGGTAAAGGCTGAGGTGAAAGTTGTGGCTGAATGCTAAATACTGAAGGAAGTGGTTGCAAGTGAAGCTGAAACAGGCTGTCAGAGGCTTAAGGTGGAGGCTGGGGCTGAAACCGGAAGTAGCAGAGGAAGGCTGGTTCGACAGATGGCTGGCAAATGCTTAAATTGCAAACTGTTCCTGCTCATGGCTGTCAGACACTACAGACAGTTGCTAGATCTGCACAAATACAGCAACAGGAGGATGGAGGATTGCAGCTGCCCAGTGATAAACGCAGGTTTAAGCTGAGGCTATGTGTCAGTGGCTGTAGGAAGAGGTATATGCTGCAGCTTAGTGTTGGGAGCTGTGGGCACTTGTTGGTTCTGGAGGTTGTTTTTTTTTTAAATTACTGGGGTTGAGACTGGTTGCCAAAATATTTAGGTGAATACTGCAGCCAGCTGCCAGAAGCCTTGGTACGTGCTCTACCAGGTTTTTAATAGTGTTTCTACAATATGGTACTATAGCGACCTGATTGGTGACGAAACAGCCAATTGGGATAACTTTATCCTGTGTCTGTTATTGGCTGGTTTTGAGGGAGACACTCTGTGAGAGAGCTTGCAGGTAGATCTGGCAGGGCATGGGGGGGCGGGAGTGTCTGTGAGAGAACAACTGACTACAACTGAGTGAGGGACATTAGTATTGTACAACTATGTGGATGATAGCAAATGGAGAAATACATTTCTTGAGCACAGAATAGATTTGCTCAGTTTGCTCAGTTTAAGTTATTATTTGTCGTCCATCTTGAAAATCTACTCCACCTTCCAGGCACTACGGTGGAGATGAAGACAAAAGAACCACCTCCTCTCTGATTGGTCTCTGCTTTGTGATTGTTATGTGATTCAGGTGTTAAAATGGGCTCAAAATTCAACTTGTAACCTGAGTGTCATACACTGTGTGGGAACTTTGAGCACCAAGTTTTACAGTTTTCTGCGTTGTATCTCTTCACAGATTTTGACAAGTCTTTTGCAGTGTCTTTGTGCTACCTCACATCTGATATCATTTGTTCAGTTTTATTCACAAACAGGAATGAGGTTTAAATATGATTGATGAATCTTTCCTTGGATTGCTTCAAAGACATTTCAGTCAAAAGAAGAGCTGCCTAAAATGTCCTTGTTTACCCTGCAATGGAAAGTCATTTTATTAAATACAATTGCCATTATGTATTTTCATGGGGATGCCAGAATCAAACTCAGGCCAGAACAACAACCAGCAAGAAATGGTAAGTCATGCGTATGACTCCACCCCCTATGTACATGGGCTCAAATTAGGGTCAAAATGATTTTGAACTTGTAAAGTCATGTTCACAAATAATTCCAATGTTTGTAGTTGTTAAATCTTTGTAAACCTGTAAAATAAAAGCATGAGAAACTTAAGTTTCTACATGTGAGAAAAATTGTGATTGTGTTGACAAGATTTGTCTTTGACTGTGAATCAAAACTATGAACGAATGATCAGTGTTACAGTGATACTGACATTACAAGGGTCAAAATTCATACTTGTCAGTGTCACACACTGGGAATGTTGAATGCCCAGTTTTACAGTTTTCTGCTCTATATCTCTACACAGACATCCACAAAAGAACTTCTTCTCCACTGTTCACTGAATCAGTTCGATTCACATAGCGGCCTTTTCTTTAACAAATAAAAAAATCTCTTTGCCACAAGCACATTTTTTCACATATACAAGCTTTACAGGTTTACAAAAGGTTGATTTACAACTACAAACTTTGGAATTATTTGTAGACTGCTTGTTCTACAACCCTGTGTCAAATGATAAATAAATTAACCTTGTAACCTGTATGAAATGTGAACCTAAAAATGGTCTGTATGTGAGTGTGTGTGTGGTATTCCCCAATATTTTCCCCAGGATGCAGCATGTCTGCTTCCATATGGTGCCCAGTAAATCAGTCAACAAAACACTGGACCACATTCAGGTCGCAGAAGTGGGCTTACAAAGGGTTAAAACAAACTGATGACTGATGATGACTATAAAAGTGAAAGACTGGAAGAACATCCAGATTTTTGTTAGTTAGGCTATGTCGTTTCCCATGGCAACGGCTACAAAAAGGGATGTTGGCATTGAAACTTGATGGAAAAGACGCTGCCTTTAAAATTTCTGAGCTATTCAAATAGGCCTAATTATAATTCTTTAATGAAATTATGATGTAGGCTAATTGATTTGGCTGTTGTCTTGGCCGTATGGTTGGTTAGGTCTACTATCCATTACACCCAAGGCACTGGTCATCCGCTGGGCACCTGCCAAAGCCTCAGCGTCCTCCTCCTCCTCGGCCCGACTGTCCGCCCCCTCTGGAGGTTATTACTCTCTTCATGCTGATTAGGTTTGGATGAATAGCGGCCTTTGTTTGACGCCGGTTCCCACGACCCGGCATTCGCCTGGCAGTCGCGTGGCTCTAAAACAGAGCCCCCCCCCCCTCACTTTAAGGGACCCAAAGGTGGGGGGACATCTGGTCAATCTGACATCTGCTCACCAACAGTTAACAGCAGATTTGAAAACACTGAGTGTGATCAAAGCAGGATAAATACAGGGCAAGATTTTTTTTTTCTTCCATTGAAGCGAGTCCTATAGCTTTGTTTCTAAAAAAGAAGAGACATGTGTTATGTCATTAATATTCAACATCAGACTAATTAGTCTGACTAATCTGTAGAATTAGCAGGATTAATATGAGCTGCGAATCAGAATTAAAATAATACCGGCAAACCTGATTTATATGGGCAGATATATCCTCAGTTGATTTGTCAGTCTATTGTATCTTATCCTGAGCTTTGAGGGAAGAGGTCTGGCTTTTTTGCAGGTAGTGTAATGTTGCTCTTGAAAAGAATGGCCGAGGGGCTCCCCGGAGTAAAGCACGGTAACTGCACACTCTTGTTCATCCCTGGGAGAAGAGGAAACTGCAGTTTTTTGTTGGATGGAGGGTGGAGAGGGGGTGGTGCATGGTTTCAGGCTGGACATCTGTCGCTTTTGAGTATTTTTCTTTTTTTTTTTTTTTTTCTAGGCCGGGTCTCTCGGTTATTGAATGGAGCCAGTGACCTGTCAGTCTTGACTGATGGGACCCCGTGTGTGGGAAAATCCCGCAGCCAAAGAGTTGGAGCATTCACATGCTAATGGCGCCCTATAAATACGAGGGCCGTGCCGCGCCGAGGGCCCTAGAGACGCGTTGAGATTCAGAGGAGAAGGGGGACAGAAGCGCACGAGACACCCGAGGAAAAAACATGACTGCTTCATCTATGGCGCACAACGTGGGGAAACATCCCAGTGCCAAGGAGGAGAGAAAGGTAGTTTACACCTGGAAATACTATACTCAACTTCCTTTAAGGATATAGCTGTACAGTGGGCCACACACACCTCTGCGCTCCAGCGTGGTGCCTCTCCATGTCGGCTGCCTTTAACCGAGTCTATTCCTTTACCTCCACAGCTGAGGAAGCCGCTCATTGAGAGGAAACGACGGGAGAGAATAAACAATTGTTTGGACCAGCTGAAAGAAACTGTGATCGGGGCGTTCAGACTTGATGTGAGTATTTCCTCACGCGTCTCATCTCCTCTACAAGGAAACAGTGGATGCTGAAACAAGTTAACTTTTAATGCTGCTCGTCTCTCAACAGCAATCCAAACTGGAGAAAGCTGATATCCTAGAGATGACAGTGAAACATCTGCAGAACATCCAGGGCAATAAACTCACCGGTGAGGAACATGTCTCTGTGCACCTGCCTGTGTGTATCGCATATGCAGGATCTGATGCAAGGTTGCATTATATTGTAGTTTTTATTTATGCCTGTAAAGTTGGTTGATATATAAATCACTTATTGTGACTTGTTAGGGTGAAGCTGTGCAGTGAAGTTTGCAATGAAATCTCCTGACCTAGTTGACATTAGTCAGAAGGGGGCAGCAACAGCACATACTCTACATGCTGCAGGTTATGTCTTTCAAGTGTGAATGTACTCAGCTGTGAAGTGCTTAGAGGAGGGTTGTAATGTGTAATTGTTTTTAATAGTTAGGTGAAATTGTGTGGGTCAGCTGTGAAAGAGTTTGTGTATCCAAGCTGCTCCCTGGAGGAGAACTGCAGTAGCCTAGTTCAAACTGGTTTACTGGATGCAGGTTGTGCCTCCACCACCAGGTGTTGCTATAACCTCTCTCCTCTTCCCTTTCCCCCTGCAGACCCAACATCAGGCCTGGAGGCCCAGCAGAAATACAGCACGGGATACATCCAGTGCATGCACGAAGTCCACAACATGCTCCTCACTTGTGACTGGATGGACAAAACTCTGGGCTCACGCCTCCTCAACCACCTCCTCAAGTCCCTGCCCAGGTCCACCGATGAGCGCCCCCTCAGCCAGCCCACACCCAGACATAGTGTCCCTCCTCCAGCCAGCCAAGGTATCCCCGGCACACCCCTCAGAGGAGAAGCCCTGCCTGGGAGGCAGCTCCAGAGAGAGGGGCCCACCTGCCACGTAGCTGGACGTCAGGAGAGAGAGAGAGCTGCGCTCCACAGCTCCCACCTGGGGATGCTGGAGATGTGGAGGCCCTGGTGAACTGGTGGATTAATGATCTTGGTTCTCCATTTTGTTAGACCATCCTCTGTTATGTATCTTATAGATATGCTGCTCAGAAGACAAACGTGGGGCAGTTTTGTTCCAGTGACTATTATTGTAGGTGTGCTATAATGATTCTATACAGACCTTTTCTCAGTACTTCCCTTCAGAAGTTGACTTCTTGTAGCCTGCATTATAGAAGGCTCTTATTAATCTTTCATGTATTTATTGTATTAACAGGTTTATTTATTTCATATTATAAGGCATGACTTTACTTCTTAGACCACCTCCTTGCCATTGCATAGATTTTCATGTCTTCCTCTATTTCTGTATAATTAACCTAAACATTAATAATAATAAAACATATTTTACATTTTATTCAGCTTTATGAATGATATTGTTCATATATAGTTGTTCTACTCCATTATCTTTTCATATTTGTGTTATAGTGGCCATGCAATGCTGAAGAACAGGACATAGGCCCTGACATATAACAGTTTATCTTGGTCTCACAAGGAGAACCCAATTTTTCAGGTTATTTACTAATATTATTATACAAATATAGATATGGAAATATAATTGATTTTTTGACCATTGGATGATTAGGTAGAGATGAGTGTTAAAAATCCTATAACTGGAAAAAAAAAAAAAAAGATATTAGTTCACAAAGTAAACTTCTTGTAGCCTGTTAACATTTGGGAACATTTTCTAAGCTGCATTCATCAACACCTTGATATAAATTTCAAAGCAAATATCATGTAATCAATGAAATGGGTCACTCTCAAATTCTAACTAGATTCTGCTGCTCAGTGCATCTTCTCAGCCTCTTTCAGCTCATTGTTTTAAAGGCTGCAGCTGCAGATACTAAATAATTCAGCCTCACTGCATTTCCAGCAGCAACAGGCTGCTGTTTTCAGTAAATAAACTAAGATAAACACACAACCGGCCCAGCAACAAATGTCAGAGAAAGTTAATGAGTAGCTAGTGAAGAAACACCTAGCTAGGTACTAGCTAAACCCAGATATTTTTGTCAGATACTTTATTTTAGCTCTGATTTTCTTTTGCTGTTTATCTCTGTAACAGAGCTAAAATGAGAGTGAATATAAGCCTTTTTCACAGCAGATATTTAGACTTGTCAGAGTCAGAAAAGCAGAGGTGTTAGAAATAACACTGTGGCTCTTTTCTTATTCTAAGCTGTAACAGTGAAAACCAAGTCCATGAAACTGAAGCAGCTAACTGAATCCATCCATCACCTTTGTTTTTCCTGCTGTCAAATGTCAAAATGTCTTCAATTAATAAAGGCCAAGGTTTCAGAGTCACTTTCAGTTTTATGTGTTGAGGTTTTCAGATGTCTTCCTCTGAAGCCTCTGCTGTCAAGTTAATACAGTGGAGGTGGATGAAATACATTTATGGTGCTCAAAGCTGTGTCAAAAGACAATGTGACAGGTCACAATAGGAAAATCACAGGTGTGTGTAAATAATAAAATTAACAATGACTGAATTCCACACTGTTCCTGCTCACTGGGACACTTGAATAGAACAGAGCCATTGTTTGTTGGCTTGTTTGTTTGTTTGTTTGTAACGCCTTTGCTTTCTCTACCATGAAAATGTCCATAGGTGCTATTTCTTTGAAAGCAGTTCAGATGAAAACTGCTCACAGTGAGGTTTGTGGATTATTCAGAGTACAGCTCATTGTCACTGGCCAGACATGACTCTGAGTTTTTCATGTGTCATGTCATTTATTGATGTTTTGTAAAGTTCCACTCAGCTCCATTGTATCATGGTGGTGACTGAAACAGTAGCCTACCTCAAAATCTCCACAAAAGCATAAATTATCTACACGGCCAGATATCAGTGGAGATAAGATTTTAAAAAAGTATGTTAAAAAAGGGATTTAGTTGAATTGACCCTTTAGCACGTATGAAGATGGAGGTATATTGATAACAATAATAATAAAAATAGGCCTTAACTTTATTTGTATAGCACTTTTCAGACAAGAAATGCAGCTCAAAGTGCTTTACAACAATGACATTACATGCACATAAAAACAGGGGTAGAAAAACATAATTAAAAACAAAATAAAACCCACTGAATAATAATAGTGGCTTGCTTGCCTGATATCTATAGTTTCATAGCTGTTGCAGGGAGCCTCCAGTAAACCAACAGCAGATCCAGTGTTCTTCTTGAAGGCAACTAGTTTATCAAGGGAGTTAGCAATGTAGCTTGGTCCTAGCCCATGAAGGGCTTTGTATATAAGGGAGGCCCTTGAAATCACTTGTAAATGTAACAGGAAGCCAGTGCAAGGCATGTAAAACTGGACTGATGTGCTCTCTCCTCTTGGTTCTGGTTCATAGCTGAGCTGCAGAGTTTTGAATGAGCGGAAGTCTCTCAGTGTTTTTTTCCAGGAGGACAGTAAAAAGTTCATTACAGTAATCGAGTCTGCTTGAAATGAAGGCATGAATTAGTTTTCCATTACCTTTTTGATTTATAAATTGTGGTAGGCTACTTTAGCTGTGTCTAAAGTTGAAAAAGGATGTTTTCATCGCCCTATCTGTGAGTTGAATCTCAGATCTGAACCTAAGATAACACAGAGACTTGAAACCTCAGATTTAATCCAGAGAGATCATTTACCCAGATTATTAAACAGCATTTCTCTTTTTGTTTTAGGGCTGTCAGGTAGGATTTCCGTTTCCTGCCAAAAGACAAGATGGCTAATGGAGTTTATAGCTGCAGATTCATAAAATACAATTATGTTTATGTTTTTGAGATTGAAAGGATCAGACACCTAAGGTCAGCCTATGAACAGAGTGAAGGGTGCCTTTGACAGGAACAGGATTTTGCATGTTCCTATGGTGGAGACAATGACACCACTGATGATCTGTATTAGGCTGCTAGTGTCACATTCCCTCTGGCAGACTATCAACATTTTAGAAAGTTGCAGCATTTGGAGTTTGGAGCATCTTATAGCATCAGTCATCATCTCCATCTTTGCGCACAAACATACAGTAGAGTGTTCTGGTGGATTTAGGCTGCGACTTAAATAAACACGTGATTCATCATTTGCAAAATAGAAAGGTATAAAAGTGCATATGGCCAGCTCTCCAGCTATTATTGCCGTTTTGATTGGTCGCCACATGGCGCCAGTCGGCGGGTCTGAAGGGAGTGGGGGGGCTGGTCCCTCAGCGAGCTCACCAACAAAAGCGAGCCGAGACAGCTGCTCCCTCCACAGTCCACACCATTAAAGATCTGGAACAGGGATCTGGGGGTGGCGAGGTGCCAAAAATCCTCCACTTCAAAGGTCTGAAACTCTTCCTTTATTTGGGGCACTAGAGTTTAGTGGTGCTTTTTGCGGAAATGCTGCGCAATTGTGGAAATACCGTGCGTAAAAGAGCGCCTGGTGATAGGCTAAATCATTACATGTACCTGGAAGGTGGCACAGATGCCTGTGTGGAACAGACAGAACTGCTCTATTGTAGAGGTGATTTGCATCATAATACCTTGTACAAAACACGTATAATAACGAGGGCAGAGGGCTGAGCGCCCTTATTAGACATAAACAAATAGACATTGTGCGCAAAAGGACTAAACCAGCACATCCAACTACTACTGATACTGATATCACAGGCCAGCTTCATTTAATTCCTCACAGTCAATGTGTTATTTAAAGGATGCCAGCCTCATATTTTGCATTTTGGAAACACGCCACATTAAAGTAAAGATACCGTGCACAGGTACACGTTATCAGCAAAAGCAGCCAAATATTATAAACTCTCGCAGCAGAGCAGGCAACGTGAGAATGCAGTTGCACACAAATCAGAAGTCACAAAACAACGGGCAGAACAAACGAGGCGCAGGGGCAACACCTGTCGCTTTCTTTGGAGAAGGGCCCTTAATTCCCCCGGCTGATTCAGTTTGGGTCGAGGGGCCGCCAGCAGCAGCTGCCAACTGAAGGCATCGCGTTACATCCGCCTAACAGCCGGGTAAATCTGCTGAGGATCGGACACAAAAGCAGGCAGAAAGAAGAATGGGTAGGGCAAAGAACAGACATGAACAAATTCTTGTGGTAGAAGTGTTGAGATGCTAAATTCTCAGACAATTACATAAGAGTTTATAGCTTCAAATAATAAGCATTACTTTAGGTAATGCAGGCTATAAAATGATATTTCCAATATACTCTATCCATTTAACCCCCTCATGAATAAACACATATTCTTCAGGCTGCGTCTAAAAGTTATTTGAACATTAATCAGAGTTATTATCAAAAAATGAAAGTTGAGGCATCACTTTATCTGCTTCTGCATGGTAATGAATTTTGCACAGCTGAATGGGAGTACACACAGTGCATTAGCACCAACAGACGGGGGAAAACAGCGCGGTCGGCCCCCTAACCCAACAAACTGTCTGATTAAAGCCCGTCCAGCTCTACGAGGCGCAGACCGGGGCTGACCGGAGACAAAAGGGGAGGGCGCTCATTGGCTCCGGCCGTGTGCGCTCTGTTGTCCCCCAGCAAGAGCAGCTCAGCCCCTATTCACATGGTAATAAGCCCCTATAAATACTAACAACAGCCACTCAGCGCCAGCAGCACGTCTCAATAGGATTGCACAATAAACACAGGGCGCCTCGCCTCGCCTGCGAGTTTGTTGATTTTTTTTTCTTCCTGTAACCGGTTCCGTTTGCCAGCTGCCCCTCGCTGAAGACGACTCCAGAGGAAAAAAAAAAAAAATCAGCAGCGGGAGAAGCCTCAGAAGCGGCGATCCAACCAACATGGCCCCCTCGGCTCGGCCCAGCAGCACCGGACTTGGGTTGGAAGACGATGAGTCCTACTATGGGATTCAGAAAGCGGACAGGAAGGTAGAGCTACGCAGGGGATAACGCACTCTCTGGACACACCTGGCTATGACGCACTTGTCACGTCGGTTTTACACTGCATCAGTGTGTAACGCATATCACATCGCTGCAAACTGCAGTTATTTGCCAAGAGTTTCCAGCTCAAGAGGGAATTTACTGATTCATAGATGCAACTTTAATCACAGAGCGACTAATATACACCGGTGGTTTTCGTTTACGCGTGCACACTCCTCGTACTCAGAGATCCACCGCTGTAAGGACATTGTCCCTGAAATGTTTTTCTCTCTTATTAAAGTGTGATCTTTGTGTTCCCGCAGACCAGGAAACCTCTGGTGGAGAAGAAGAGGCGAGCTCGCATCAACGAGAGTTTGCATGAGCTGCGGACTCTGCTGGCAGACACAGACGTGAGTACGGGGCGCACAGTGCACCGGAGGTCACCTGTCCCTGTGATACGGACGTAGATTCAGTTTCTAAAAGGAGCTCTGCTGGTTGTTTCCCCACAGTTTCACTCCAAGATGGAGAACGCAGAGGTGCTGGAGATGACGGTGAAGAAGGTGGAGGACATCCTGAAGAACAGAAGCCAAGGTGTGTAGGCTACAGATTTGGTCAAACTATAGCCCGACACTCCGATACTCATTCAAGCAGTCTAGTTAATCTTAAAAAGTAGATGCATATTTTCAGCACTAGCTCTTATTCAAACCCTGACAGCGGGAGTTTACATCCTCTTTAACCCCAGTGATCTGTCCTGTGTGTGACCACAGGAACCAAACAGATGATGTTCAGTCTTGTAGTCATGTTTGTTGGATAAACACATTTTACACCCAAAATATAAGGACGTAATTAATATAGTTATTCTTTATTAATTATGTCTTTATAGTTTGGTGGTGACAATATATGTAGGGAAAATAAACGATAACCCATTAGAAATATGGAAATGATGTTGGTCCAACACATTCAGAGAAGCTGAACTCTTATGATATGAAAGCTGCATCAACATCCAAAATGCTACATGATGTGCAGTGTATGACAGTATGATATTACAATGATATATCACCCTGCTCTATCTGGAAAAACGTGACTCATCCAACCAAGTTTGAAATAAGACAAGAGCGTATTGATCAAATGCATCTGTGGTAGAACACCTGAAGAACAACCTGAGGGAACAATGCAGTAGTTTTTAGGTCTCCAATTATTCAGTGTTGTCACTTGGGTAATGTATCACACCGCTCCTGAAAGTCTTGAGACAAACCAACGACTGACCAGTGATAATGACTTGGATCAGTGGTGGAAAAAGTAGTGAGGTCTTAAGTAAAAGTAGCAATATCACAATTTAAAAATACAACATCACAAGGAAAAGTCCTGCATTTAACATTTTACATAAAGTAGAGTTTGATGAAAAAAACGTACTTAAAATATAAAACATACTAATAAAGACTGATTCCTTTTAGAGGTTTATATATGTTTTATTGGTGGATTAATATTATTCATGTTGAGCTTTTTCATCTTTAACAATGCCTCCTATTTCATAAGATGATGATACGTTTTGTTTGAAAAATTGTATATAAACTCACTGAGATGTCAGCAAATTTAGTGGAGTAAAAAGTGCAATATTTCTCTCTGAAATAAAGTGGAGCAGTACAAATTGGAAATCGGTATGTAAAGTATTAGTTCTCCAGAACCGTACTGTACTGGACCACAAGCAGTGGTGCAGAAGTACAAGTGCAGTAGAGTCGTTTCACACCTTTCTGTCTCCTCCTGCAGAAACAGACGCACTCAACCGAGAAGCCAGTGAGAGGTTTGCAGCCGGCTACATCCAGTGCATGCACGAGGTCCACATGTTTGTGTCCAGCTGTCCTGGGATAGATGCGACGGTGGCGGCGGAGCTCCTCAACCACCTCCTGGAGTGTATGCCCCTGAATGAGGACCACCTCCAGGACGTGCTGATGGATCTAATCACAGACACTTCTGGGAGCAACGGCAGCACTTGGCACGGAGGCGGCGAGTCCCTCTGCGCGACTCTGGCTTCACCTGGAGGAAGGAGTCTGTCCCTCGGCTCGTCCTCTGCCCTCTCCCCGGCCCCCTCCACTACGTCCAGCGAGGACCTGTGCTCCGACCTGGACGAAACCGACAGCGAGCACAACCAGAGCTCCACAGAGGGCATGGAGAACAGGGAGGCCCTGAGCATGCCCACCATGACCTACCCTCGGTCCATGTGGAGACCCTGGTAGAGGGCTGGATGGGATACATTACAGCAGGGTTTGTGAGTGTCCATTAATGTTGTGATACTCAGCTCTCCTGCTGAATACATATAAGGGAAAATTCCACCCTATGAACACTTTCAAAATAACAGTTTTTGGTGGTGTGCTTTGCATTTCTGGACTCATCTACCCCTGCAGATAACTGGCCACATGCATGGATTTTCCTCTGGACTCCCCGCATTGATATTCAATAATAAAATCTGTTCAATAAGAGACAAAGCGACCAATTACTGTCCTGACAGCTGCCTCAGTCGACCGCACATCAGTCTGCATTCAAGGAGGGACAATGACTGTGGCTTCTCTCTTCACCCACAACTGATGCAGCAAGTTCACAGCCGTTACCTGGAACTCTGGGAAATGTAGGAAACCACTAAGTGATGTAGCATCAGGCAGTGCAAGTTATATGGAACAACATTTCATCAGAAAAACATTCCTTGAGTGCTTTGGATATCACAGAAAAACGTGTAAATCTGAGTGTTAAAAGGTGGACTTTTCCTTTTTCTCTTATCAGATGGGTCCCTCTGTTCAAGGGCCCCTCCAGCTTGGGGCCTTCCTGAAAGTATTCCCCCTTTTCTTCTCAGTAGTGACACCCTGGCTTGTGATTTTTTTCCCCTTACACCTGAAGAGACCGTCCCTCTCAACACACTTATAACAAAAGGACCAGTTCAGGACGCTTACACTTCCTCTTTTGTCAATAACTCTGTGTATATAGGATTTTGTATGAGGAGAAAAGCTCTTTTAGAAGATTGGCAATGCCTCTGATTAATATAAATATTTCTATTGTATTTCATAAAGGCCTGTAGTTTATTGGACCAGTAGCCTCCTTCTGAATGACCACTTTATGTTGTAATGATGTTTAGAAATGTTTTGCCAGTATAATGTCTGAATTTCATAAATAAAACTATGTAACTGACACGCTTTTTGTCTGATGTGAATCAATGCTACAGAGGATTAACACCGGAGACAGGATAAAACTGAAGGTGATGGTTAATTCAGGAAGATTTAAGAAATAAAAATGTTTACAGGGAATGTTAATTTACCACTGAAAACTACTTTTTAGGCTTTCAAATTAAATATTATTCATATATTTTACACTTTTTCCTCACAAATTGTATGTTTTTGGTCACACAGTCTTAGGGCCCCTTTGGTGCCAAAAGCAAACTTCCCTTTCTGAAATACTCAACATTAAAATAAATAATCATCCGCATCATATCCTCCTCCTTCCTGTTAACACCCGCCCCTTCTGGGATCCGAGCTGCAGTCCCCTCACACCACGAGGACGCGCGGTGCGTGTGCGCACATGAAAGAGTCGCACCTCTCCAAGTATCGTCGCTCTCACCTCAGATACATTGAGCTTTTTAACAAAGGGCTGTGAGATCCTGTCTGGACCAGCCATCAACCTTCAGCGGCAGCGGCGGCGGCGGCGGCTCCCAGAGCGGCGCGGCCCCTCCTTCCTGCTGTAGGATGGAATAATGAGAAGGTCCAACCGGTTCCCACCCGGGAAAACGTACTTTTCTCTTGTTTTCAGAACATATGCAGGACCGATAGGAAATCTCACACTGTGGAGTCTTCGTCAGTCTGGAGTCCTGAAGGAATCATTAACACACCCGGGTGGTGGAGGAGGAGGAGGAGGAGGAGGAGGTGGGAGGTGGAGGGCCTGGGTGTGAACGTCGGAGGAAACGCATTGAAATGGGAGCGGACGAGACACGCTGATCAAAGCTCGAGCCATTTGACAGAGGAGCGTCAAAGCCCGCATAGTTGAAAAGACACTGAAAGGGACACAAGCAGGCTCAGATTCTTCAAAGGGATCAGCCAGCACACACCTACACCTACATACACACACACACAACAGCATCACTGACCCTGGCTCATCAAGGCACTCAGAGAAGCAGCACTGTGGAAATAGGGCCAAAGACTAGTGATGGGAAATGAAGGCGATTAAATTCTTTACTTAAACAAAAGTATCTCTAGTTCAGTGAATAATACTCAACCCACACATTGTGCATTCAAACTCCAAAGTAAATACAACCCAAAAATTGTCCCTCAAGGGCATAGGTTTGGTCTCAACAATGGTAGGGACGCAATAACCCCCCCCCCCCCAAAAGAAAGAGGACTTTTTTAATGCTGTCAATCAAATGGTTTATTAACAGAGGCACTAAGATCTGAGTTTATATTCAGAAAAGTATTTACATTCAAATAAAAACTTTAAGAAATTACCATATAACTTACAAGTTAACATCAGAATATAGGTGGACTATGGTTACGGTAAATATAAGTTATATAATATAATTTACAATGAATCCGTAATGGTGTGTATTTAATCACACTATTGTTTTAATACCTCACCTAAAACCCCCGAAAATGCATCTGTTTTCTCATCAGCCGCCTCTATCTGCTGTTGTTCCAGCATGCAAAATAAATAATGGTGACATTTTTCACGGGATTTCTCGACAGAAAACTAAAACGACGGTCATGAAATATAATAATACATAAGCCCATAATGCATTTAATATTAAACCCACCTCCACCCCCTGATAACCAATATTTGGAACTGCTATGCCAAACCTAAACTACTGCTACATAAAGATCTCACCATGGCCTTAACTACACACACTACATCCTAAAAAAACTATCATACAGTTGAATCAACAACTGTCTCAAACAATTTTAATAAAAACTGAACATTATAATCTTCATGGAGGAGGATTTACTGAAGGGCTGTTGTTTTAGACTACATCAGTTTTATCCAGATGCTCCTAATAAACTGACAACTGGGTGTGTTTTGGTAATTGTCAGTTGTATGCGCCGACTGGCACGGTGCTGAACTGATTCACCTGGCAGCCTAAATATGCTCTTTAGTTTATTGTTGCTCTGTCTAAACACGATTAATGTTGTTTCCTTCATCACATTGACTAACTACCCGCTGTACATTTAAACCTACACTAGTTCCGCTCCAGCACCTGGAGCTCTCTGCTCCTTTTAGAGACTTTCGCTAAGTCAGCAGTTGTTTACGTGCTATTCAGGTATGCTAGTAACTTTAGCTTAGCAGTTAGCGCTAGCTTCTCTCTCTCTCTCTCTCTCTTTCCCTCGCTCGCTCGGTGTGTCTTGAACCAACAGGTGAACTTGTTCATCAGAGTGTGGTGTTGTTGTAACTTCACTGTAGAGGATTGTGATGTTTACTACAACTTCAGTGTTGTCTGCTTTCTTACCTCCGACACACGGCTCCGCTTGTTAACCTCAGCTACCGTCGTCTGTGTACACAGTAGGCTTCACCGTGATAGGCTATTACTCGCGACGTGTAACCAATCAGATCGTGCTGTGGGCGGGACACTGCTCCAAACCACAGAGTGGTTACTACAGACCAGGTACAGGCTGCTGCATCAGAGCCAAAGTAGCCATTTTCAAATCAATTTATTTTATCGGTTGTCGGTTAAAGAAAATAATGATACCGATAATCGGAAAATGCTGAATATCCATAATCACAGGGATGAAGAGGGACGATTTGGTGGGGCAGTCGGAGCATTTGGTGGGGCATTGCCCCCTGTGCCCATGCCTAGAGCCGGGCCCGCATCTACGAATGACTTCACTCCAAACACAGTGCGAACAAGTTCAATCAAACATTGGTAGGAACGTGTCCCCACCGTCCATATGCAAACCTACATCCTTGCCCATGGTTTTTATAAATAAACCTATAATCAACCCATTAAGGTTTTTCTAAATTGTTTCCAGCATTTTAATCTTATCTGGAGGTGGAACTGATTTGAAACCACTTTATATGCTGCTGAGTTTAATCTCTAATGCATATTTCAAAAGCTGCACAAGCCACACAAGCAACAGCGGCTACATATTCATATACTCATCTTGAAATGATCAGTTCTGGGCAATTACTCCCATCAGCTGTCGCCAAGATTCACCAGTAGTTCCAAGTTTAACACCCACATGACATGACAGCTGCCTTTTACTGGAACAATTACTTTTTCAGTAGTTCTATAATTGTTTCTTTGCCAAACCCTGTTTCAAACAGAGTAAATCAAATTACAGTGTACGATGTCCTTAAATATATGCCTGTTCCCCAAACACAGTGGTCATTGTATGGTGTGGATGTTTAGGTATGACTGAATGGGTTGGATGTTGTTTTTAAGGACCACAGGTCAAATTAAATTACAGTCACACCCTATTCTGTCTGCTCAAGCCAACACAAATACATTATTCTTTACTGGAATCTTCATATATATATATACAGTGTGTATATACAGTATATATATATATATATACAAACCAGAGTTAAGGACTTTACTTCCCGCCAAACCCCTGCATGTCACCACAATCTGCTAACAGAAGATGACAGATGACAGGCTGGCCACATTACCAGATTTAGTTTTAGCAGAGAAAAAAAAAGGTAGGACTTCTGTGTCCAAATGCATCAGCTGTGAATTTGTGACCGTGCATATGAATTCTGAGGTTAAAGGTCAGTGAAATGCAACAGTTGGCGTGAGAGAGGTCCAACGGTGGAGGCGAGCATATGGCGCTGAAATAGATCCCCGGGGAACCCTGCCATCCTCGGCTGCTTCTCAACTGTCTTTGACTGTGAGAGAACAATCACTTTGTGTTTGCTGCCGCCCGCAGCAGCAGCAGGAGCAACATGCTCCTATGTGCTGCATGCACACATAGAATACACGTTATCACACTCTGCAGATTAATTAATGTTATTATTATTATCATTATTATTATTATTTGCAAGAAAATGCATATAATTTCAAGTGAAACTCATTGTTTTTAATACATAAATGTGAGTTTCTTCCTGAAGAATACACCTCAGTGTGTGGAAACAGTTGTATAATGACTCTGAGGGAGCTTTGTCAAGTCTGAGAAGAAGGAGTCATTTCAGCTGGAAACTACAAACTTATACAAACAGGGGGCCTAGAGATTGCAGCAGGTATTTACCAGGCAAAGAAGCTCTAACAGAAGATGCTGTTGGTTGTTGTTGCATTATGAAGGATGTAAGGTAAAAGACCTTTAAATGTTTTGCTCCACTCAGCATTGATCATACCCATACCTGCAAAAATTATTGATCTCGTTACATTTAAATAGGCTTTTATTCCATGTTGTTGTGTTTACCTTTTATTTAAAGATGCTTTGATGTTTTACAGGTTTATTCTCATTTTATATTTTCAGTATTGTAAGTTTGAATGTTTGTCTAAATGTTTGGTTTTTGCTTTAGGTTCAAGTGAATAAAAGACAAAAACTGCGGTCTTCAGTATTTTTGGAGCTTGAGCTACATGAGGGATTAAAAATCAGAATATATCAGCCTCTGCTGCTTCACCTCCACTGCCTGACTGTGTCCTCTTATTTTATAGAAGTGCAATACTAGATTTTTGGAGTATCCCTTTAATTTCTTACAAAAAAATGAAATTTCAGTTGTGACACGTCAATGTGAGTTTTTCCAATTGAGACTTTGATAAATCACACAAGCCCCTTCCACTGGACTGAGGGCCTCCTGTCAGTCCAACGCATTTGCTTAAACCTGATATGTAATCAGACAGTTATCTATGCATGCATATAATGTGACCCTGTGGTGGTGGTGTTGAAGTGTGTTGATTTTAAGATTTATTTTCTTTGTGGCAGATGTGGTGTCAATAGTTGTGTTTGATTGGTTATTCATGGTCTAAGCAAACGTGATAAATCATGTGATCACATAAGAGTTTACACTTTGCTTTAAGTTGCTGGATAAATGTATCTTATTGCTTTCTTTTTCTCTCCCAAATTAACTCTTTAAAATGTTCTTAGGGTAATTCTCAGCTACTATTATTATTATTTAAAGGGGTATTGCATCAAGAATTGAGCAAGGAAACAAGTGATTTCATGAGTGAACTCTTTGGTGTTGAGTAGAGAGAGCAGAGATCATGAACAGATGTACAGATGACTCACACTGGTTTAGATTTCTGTAGTTTTATAGCAACATTTTCTCAAACAACACATCTGAACTACAAAAATAGCACAGAACTGTGCTAGTTGAATATACCACAGACTCATACAGTGGCAATGAAACAAATTTACATAACCATACACAACATCATGTGTCACAAACGTGTGTATGCATTTACAGGTCAGGGTGCTTCCAACAGCCCACCAGTGTGTAGTTTGTTTAAAATGCATTTCCTCTCTTAGTGAGGCCTCAGGAGAAAAGTAAAGTTTAAAACTGGTTCTCTGTATTTACAGCGCTTTATTTCCACATTTCAGTTTTTACAATAATAAACAACATTCTTGCATTCTTACTGGTTTATACACAGGTGAGTGTTGGAGCCCCCCCCCTACATATTTTGCTCAGAGAAGAGACAAACGACAGAGACAGATTGCAGTGGCTGAAGGTGGTGACAACTGTCTGTCTTTGTCTGTGCATTCATTCATTCATTCATTCATTCATTCATTCATAGGAACAGAAGGAGTCCATGAAGCTGAGTCCACCGCTCTTCAGAATCACTTAAGTATCTGACCACTCTGTGCTTTGTCCACATACAAGCATACAAGTGCTATGTTCTGCTTACAGTAACATGACCTGGGATTTATTAGAGGTAGGGTCCATCCCCAACGACACTCAAAAGCTCTTACCTTTGTTAAAACACATGAAAAAAAAAAAAAATAGAAAAATAGAACATTAAAAAAAGCTTTGACAAGTTAAAAAAAAAAAAAAAAAAGAAAAAAAAAATCATGAGAACAAACTAACCCAGTGAGATGCTCTTGGTCCAGTCTGTGTTGCATTCACAAGCCCAACCCCAGCAGTTTCTCTGCCTTAGCACCAGAGTTGCTCCCAGTTCCTCATACTGTTTGCATCGACTACATGTGGATCATAGTTTCTATAACACTTCATGTTAGATGAAGAGGGGCTTGCATGGCTGCTGATGCACGTACAGTATATCATCATTTCCTGTGTGGGCCCGCTTTCTCCCGAAGGTTACTGACGCAACATGGTCCCCTTGTTTGCTACAATTGTAAAGCCGTTTTCCCACCATACTGCAGATTTGTTGTGAGGCTGTACTGCTGCACACACATGGCACCGGAAATATGCCAGTATGTAAAAAAAACTTTTTCTATTAATCCCAAAAAACAGATGTGTGTGAAAATTATATAAATTAAATATCTCTGAAAGGGTAAAAGTGGAGGTAATGTAATTTTGCATAATGTATAAATCCCTAAAATACTACTAATTTGTTAAAAAATGACATTTTGTAGCAGAGTTGCACCATACTGACAGAAAAAAAGAACATTCCTCAACATTTTTTTTTTTTTTATAAGATTCTGCAATTTACATGGATATATAAATATTTCTATTTATAAAAGTACTCCAAGTGTACCACCTTAAGATACGAATTGGAGGTGAAAAGGAAATTCTAATTCTCTCATTAGTTAAAATAAAATTAACATTTCTTCAGCTTTAAACTTGATTCGCAGCCTCAACTTTTCCCGTCAACTGCTGAGTTTCCTGCATCAATTTCCTGATGCTGATTGTTTTTATGCAACAAAAACATTGCAGCAGCCTCTGGATCTGTGATGAAACCCCACTTCTTCATAGCACCTGTGCTGTCGTTATACTTAACACTACATGGTATTATGTAGTGTTACCTGGCAACACCTGTAAACTGTTAAAATGAGTACTGACTTTTAGCAAAGTGGATTTGGCTTTAGCTTAAAAAAAACTACTCTAGATACATTATCTGGTAGAAAATAAATAATATACATGAACTTCTTGCACTATGCGTCAGATCATCACTGTGGAGAGTTACAACCAGCTGTTGAGTCAGGTGCTACCACTGCTGTGTACCTTGATATTGCAAATACTCAGGTCTGAGGAGAGTAGTGTGAAAACAACTCATCCATGATACAAAAAACTAACAAAAAAAAAAAACAAAAAATAAAAACAAAACACAATTTGACCCAGTCTACATCAACTACACTACAAAGGAAAGCAGAGGGGATTCTGGGGTTTGTAGGGCTTGAATGGAACCAAGAAACCACAAACATAATATCTGGCAGTATTTAAACAGCATTTTTAAATCGTGAAATCACGATTATTTTGTCAAAATAACATTTTTAAAATCAAATGTATTTATAATTTAGAATATTTATATTTAACAGACATCCATTTACTATTAACTTTTTTTTTTTTTTTTTTAATAATAACTCATCATGTCGCTGTGAAGCTTTGCCCCCAACAAAGAGGATGGGAAACAATTAAATAAAAAAATATCTCAGAAGCCAGAGGTCACCAACCACACACGTTGGATCATTTCAGAGAGTGTGTGTGTGTGTGTGTGTGTGTGTGTGAGTTGGGTAGAGTACTATAAACAGGGTGATGCTTCCAAAGCCCCCCATCAAGCACTGCTGCCCCTGTGTGGGGGCATTAAGAACTGCACTCCAACAGCTGTCCCACGTCCAACACACACGAACAAATGAACAGCGCACATCTTCATAAGTTCTGTTTGCTGTGTGTGTGTGTGTGTGTGTGTGTAGACATATGTGTGGGTTTGTGAGGATGGTCAGGCACACAACTGTTTGTCTCACATCCACGATGTGTGTGCATGTGAGTGTGTGTGAGCATCATCAGGGTCCATGGCTGGTCAAGTCAAGTGTGTCCCCCTGCTGGCGGTGTGTGTGTGTGTGTGTGTTCAGGAGCCCGATTTTGGTTGAGGATGCGAGTCCTCTGATTGGCTCTGAGTGTTGTGGTCCTCTGGGCTCAGCTCGTCGCCCAGCCCACCCATGTCCATGTCGGGCAGGTCCTCCTCCATGGGTGCCCCTGCTGCGTCCTTGCAGTACAAACACTCCTAAACACAACACACACAAAGACAATATTAAAATGTATCCAGGGTTACAGCAAACCTGATGAGACATTTCAGACTGGGTGAGAACTGTGATGGAGTTCGTATGAAAGGCCCTTACCTTCACATTGACAGCAGCAGGTAGACCCCCCCTCCTCATCCATGGGTGTTCCTCCACCAGCTCTCGTCGCTGGTCTGAGGAGAAGTGAGGCTGGCTCTTCTGCATCTGCCGCAGCCTCTCCTTGTCTTCCCGCAGAACCTTCTGAATGTCCCTGTTAGTCAGAAAACACACGGATTACTATTTAGGAACACTCATTACCCTTTTTGCTTGGAACTGTGTTTTTCCTCCTAGAACAAAACTTAATTCCAGTCAGGGACTCACCTGGAGGGCATCTGATATGTCATCATGACCTTGTCGTCAGCGTTGGCCATCAGCAGCCAGAGGGGCTCCTGGAGAACGTATTTGATGAAATGCTCTCCCTCTCCTTGAGTTGAGACTTTGGCCTGCGACTGGCCACCTTCAGAGCCTCCTTTGGCCCTCGTCTTGGCTTTGGCTTTCGCCCTGGAGTCATGTTCCAGGGAGTCAATGCTGCCAAAGTATTTGCTGGTGTTGCTGCTCCCTGTACACAGTTTTAGAGGGACAGGGAACCAGTTAAAAATAGACTTTAAAACGTGTATTTTTCATAGGAAATGTTGATCATTTATAACAATAAATAGTCAATAGTTATATCATAATGTAGGATAAATAGAAGTTAAGTTTATGCAGTGGTTAGAAATGCTCTTCATGTTCCTCTGCTGACCTGTTCTGCTCCCAGAAGCTCCACTCGCTGAGGTACCGGAGCCGTTGCAGCCTGAACCTGATCCTGAACCTGAACCTGATCCAGAGCCTGATCCTGAGCCCATAGAGCCAGAGGTGGCTGATCCAGTGCCAGAGTGGGAGTCCTCCTGCTCCTGCAGAAGGATATCCAGCAGGTCGCAGGATGAGGAGTTACCGTCACTGTGAGCCCCATCTCCTGGAGACTCCGCCTGAAACACAAGCAGGAAAACCATCAGAAAACGTGTTGGTGTGTATATGAGTGACGGAAGCGTAAACGAGACAGAGTTCTGGTGTTAAATCAAAGATACTGTCACTAGTTCATTGCATCTCTCACCTGTTGGTGGTTTTCAATCTTGGCCATTCCTCCGTTCTTCTCTCCTACCGCCCCCACTCCTCCCGACGCTGTCACAGTGATGCTGCCCTGACCTCCAGCGGAGGGCGCCGTGCTGTCCTGACGCTCCACTGACCGCTGCCCCTCCTCCATGCTCAGCAGATTGAGCTGCAGTGGCGAGCTGCACCGTGACTCAAACAGCGGCGGCGACGTTGCCGGCTCCTGCATCCCGGAGGCCGGGGTGGAAGAGCGTGATGCCGCCCCTTCTCGGGGCTCCACGGCCGGGGCTTTTGGGGGCTCGGAGGCTAGGCTGTAGGGGAAAGGCTGAGCTGGATAAGGGGCTTGTGCGACAAACTGAGGCTGCACTGGGAACGAAGGCTGGGCAGCAAAGGGCTGCTGGGAAGTGTAGGCAGTCTGAGGGGCCTGGAAAGGCTGCTGGGTAGTGTAGGCAGTCTGAGAAGCCTGGAAAGGCTGCTGGGTAGTGTAGGCAGTCTGAGCGGCTTGGAATGGCTGCTGGGGGGTAAAGGCAGTCTGCACAGGGAATGACTGTTGGTTGGTGAAGGGGGGTTGTGTTTGCATGGTGTAGGCTGGCTGCGGGGGCTGAAAGGGCTGCTGGGCTGGGTATGCAGGTTGTGTCTGGGTCTGCTCAAGAAAATACACCGGACTGGTCGTCGCCCCTAACTGCCCCATCTGCCCTATCTGTCCTATTTGGGGGAAGAGGTAATTTGGCAGCACCAGAGCCACCACAGGTGTTACAACAGGGGTGGGGAATGGAGTGGCTGCAGGTGGAGCTTGTGTGTTCTGCCCCTCTCCGAAGCCTGTGGAGAGGGAGGGGTCAAGGCATGCGGGCTGAGCTGGGGCAGCAGGTGCTGGCGGGTAGAGCGGGTACGCAGGCACCATGGTGGGGTAGGAGACGTTAAATGCTGACTGTGAGGCTTCTGATGGGGACCACGACGTCTGGTTGAGACCCTGGAGAGGGGGGCGGGGTTTACGGTTCAACACGGCGCTGTCTGACGAATCAGGATTCTTCATTCGTGGCTTCTTGGACTTCCTGTTACGGTTGCCTTTCTTGGCCGTCGTCTCAGGTCTGGTGGCGCCCTGTTTGACAGCACCTCGTGGTCCAGATGATTCTGAGATGACACATGCAGAAGTCAGATGGTTGTTTGTGTGTGAACTGGACATTTACAGTTTCTGTCTCAAAGTAACGGTAGTTTTCAAAAGAATTAATACTCAAACTGTCACCTCAGCACTGAGCAACTTAATGACATTAAGCATTTTGGCTTTGTGTGGTTACTGTGAAGACTCTGTACCTTCAGTGTGGGCTGCACCCCTCTGCTTGTGCAGATATTTGGAGCAATCCTTGTGGAAGCTCCTGGCGTTGCGGAGCTCTCTGCAGCGGTTGAGGAAGGCCTGCTCTTCTTTCTGGGTGTGTGCTGCCAGCACCTGTTTGGTCAGTCCCAGCCTCTTGTAGGCCTCCTTCTCCTGGCTCGGCGGAGACACCATGCTGACGGGCAGAGCTGGGGGCGCTGGGCTCTCAGCCACATCCTCGATTATCTCTGTAGAAGGAATCGGCGGATAAAACATCAGTTAAACAGATCTTATTACAAAAGATGGATGAGAGCACTCCTCATGCAGTTCCAGTTATGCTTCTGTGTTTGTGTTCTGCTTGATTGGAATCAGAAACTCACCCGACTCTGGCTGAGGCTTCTTGTCTCCCACGTGGACAATGGTGCTGCTGTAGCTGCACTGTGAGGTGATGGACACCACGCTCTCTGCCTTGCTGGGCAGAGTGAGGGGCGCCAGGGGGCCTCCTACCACTGCAGCGGCTGCAGACGGAGGCTTCTTAGGTGCCTTCATGTTTGGCAGGCCTGGCTGGGCGTCTAGCATCAAAGGATCTGGATGGGGAGAGATAGATCATCTGTTAGCTCCAAGACAAAGATGATTATAGTCCCGTAATTCCCGTCACTATATAAAAAGGAACACCAGTGAAGGCAAGCATCGACGAAAATAAATAACACTAGGGTCATAAGAAATTGGATCTAATATCCTGGATGTGTGACACATTTCCTCATACCTGAGTTTGTATCCTGAGGCACATGCATGCTGTCCTCTGAGCCCTTCTTGCCATCATCAGAGTTGGAGGAGGTGGTGTTTGAGGAGAACTGGTACTTCCTCTTCACTGTGATGGGGATGTTACAACTCTCCAGATACCTGAGGAAACATCAACGGATTTAATCAGAGAATGCACGTTTCACACATGTGACCTTTTAACCATCATCTGAAGACAAACAGGGTCTTACCTGATGACACTGTCCAGGCAGCTGATCTGCTGGTAAGAGCACACAGTCTGGTCTTTGCAGGTGAATTCTTCCACAGTACTGTCTCTGACCTGCAGAGGGGGCGCGGAGTCCTTCAGACGCACCGTTGGACTCTTCTGAGCTGCTGCTGCTGGAGAGAGAGAAGGAGGGTTAAATGTCAGAACCACACAAAGGCCGGATAAAAAAAAAAACCTGATGCACTTCACTGAAATATTAAGAAATAAAAAAATACTAATTTCTAATCCGTAGCTTTCAGTGACTGTTGTGTCAAATAATGAAATGACAGCACAGGGATTTATTTATTTTTTTAAATGATTCTGGGTTACAATTTTTTTTAATGCCATCTTAAAGTGACATTTTTAAAAGGTGATATTTAATTGAACTCACTATCAGTAGTCTTCTTGTGCTCAGGTTTGGATGGTAGCGGCGTGGGCAAAGAGGCGTGCAGGCAGACCTGCAAGTCCTGGTTCTTCTGCATGTGGACCCCTTTACAAATCTCCTGGAACGTCCTGGGAGGTTTGGCCTTCTCCGTCTCCTCTGCTGTGCCGCCCGGCGTCATGTTGCTCTCGCTGGACGAGCTGATGCTCACAAGTTGCTCGTGGGAACCGTTGCTGCCGTGGCTACCGTAACCGCTGGAGCCAATGTTGTGGACCGGCTGAAGAGAGAAAAGAGTGTTAAACAACCTGACTGATGCATGACTGAAAATGTTTATTTAATGTGTGTGTGTGTGTGTGTGTGTGTGTGTGTGTGTGTGTGTGTGTGTACACATACTTGGAGTAGCAGCCTGTGGATCAGTTCACTAATTTCCTGGATGTCCGAGTCTATGATCTTCCCTCCGTGGAAAACTGGTGCTGCAAAAACGTCTTCGTTCACAGGACCCCTAAAACAAACACACACACACACCACTGTCACCTGCCATGTTCAAACTGAAATATATTCCAACATGCCACTGCTGATGGCAACACACTGTGACTAAAACATTGCATTGGTCGTACTCACATCCGGACTTTGTGCCTGCCGATGACGAAGGAGACCTTGCGGCTCCAGGGGCTGACGAAGCTGGACCAGCTCGTGTCTATGGTGATGTACTCGCCATTTCTTGCACAGAAACGGACGGAGTGGTCGAACGGCTGACCGGCGTACTGCAGAACTGTGAGAGAGAATGTGTGTGAGACTCAGAGAGCTCCTTTCTATTTGTCAAACATCTCAACCGTCACATATCAAATGAATGAGAAGGGTTCTTACTCTTGCGATGCACAGCCAGCATTAAGGGTCGGTCACTTGGGTGCAGATTGAGAAGTACAGGGGTCCCGATCAGGTCCTGAGGGAGGTAACCCAACAGAGGAACAGCCCTGATGGAGAAACAGCAACAATTACTTTTTCTGATTAAGCAGGAAACAGCTCAACAGCACAGGTTCACACACGACATGACACAAATACTTCTGTATGAATTACATGGATCTCAGCCAACTCACCTCTCATCCACGTCCTGGAACACACAGTTAGGCGTGTGTGTGGTGGTGAAGATTCGCTTGTCGGGAGGGATTCTGGGAGCTGTGGAGAGAGAAGACGAACAAAATCAGTTAGCCACTAAATAAAAAAGATACTATACGTTTTTCAGTTTGAAAGGGGAGGGATAAATATTTCATAATCTGATCACAGGATTAAAATTTACCTTGTAAACATCTTATATAGTTACTAAACTGGACTATACACATGCTGCAATTGCTCATCTGCTTGATTTACATCACATTATATCTCATTTTTGGACGCTTCAAATAGTTAATACAGTTAATAATAAAGCTTTTAGTGATGTGGGATTATTCATTATGTCAGTATGTAGTAGAACGAACATTAAAACTGTGTGTGGAAACTCACCTTCGTATCCAGAGTGCACCCTCTCAGCCAGCAGGAGGCAGCAGAACTGCTCCTCTGAAAGCTCAGTGTCCTGGACTTTCATCAGGTAAGGAGTCATACGGAAAGGATAGTACTGGAGATCCCCTTCACGCTCCTTACCTCCACTATAACACACACACACACACACATTTAGGTATTATTATATATTTGATTTATCATGACTCATATGTAACATTTCGATTAATTTTTTATACTATTGCAATTATGTAATTTAAGTTAATGAACTTCTAATTTTATTAATTTGATTCTTTCATTATAGTGAAATGATTTTGTCTTAGTCAAGTAAATAATAATAATTTTAATACTTATTAACTCTAAATGGTTTATTTTGACATATAATACACCTATGTTGACTTCTTAATTATATCAAATCTACTCTAACTTTTTTTAATCTATACACAAATAATACATTATATAAAAAGATAGTTATATTTTAAATGACCACCAAGTTTTTAAAAAAGATTTTTTTAATTAGTAGTTGTAGCAACCAAACTAACCACAAGATGGAGACACAGTTGAAAAGCTCACAGCCGCTGACTTCCTCCCTGCTCACTAACCCTGTGCTGACTCAGAGCTCTTTTGAGCAGGAAACTATGGATCAGAGAAGCTGCTGTCACTCACCTGATGCGGCAGAAGAAGGACTTCTCCTGCATGCACTCCGTGGGAGACGACTCTGAATAAGTGACAAAGGAAAAGGTGGGATGAATATATCACCGAACGCATCGACTACTCCAACACAACCCATCTGTTAGTCATCGATAAGCAACTGAAGCACAGCTGCTCAGGGTCTGACCCTTTCTTTTTCCCCCCAGGAGCACATGTTCTGTTAAGTTGAAAAATTTAGGAACACGTCAACACCTTTAGGGGTGCAATGAAAATTTTTCCTTAATAAAGAGAAACAAGGAGACATTTACAAGCAAAATTGTGAATGATTTAATTAATTTGAATACAAAAAAGTACACTAGGTTTTTAATTACTTCTGCTTCAAACTATATTTTAATAAGTAATTATTTATACTTTAAACTGCTTTGAACTGTATAAACAGTATGAACACCTCTTTAATAAAGTAGTTCTTCTTAGTGGTGTCTACAGGGCGTCTGCGCTGACGGGAGGATCGTGGGATTTTTTCAACGGGCAGCATTGGTCATAGTCGCTGTTGTGTTAGCAACCTTTTTCTTGTAAAAGAAGAAGTAGAGGTTGCCTGGGCTGAATTTTCGTAATACTTTTTTATTTGCACACGTGCTGCTAAATACATTTTAAACTTCGCACATGTCTATTTTTAGTCGCCAATGCAGGTGATTCGCTCGCACTGTCGAGCCCTGCTGCTGAGTCATCGCTTGCACAGCTTGCGTTACCCAAGTGATTCCTGCAGAACAGTGCTGCTTCACATCACTGGCCTCATGATGGCTTCCAAATCCCCAGATGACAACAAGCTGTTTAAGTGAGACTACAAAATCAACTACAGTAAAACAGAGTTGATTGACAACAACAGCATGAATGGAAGCTACAGAATGATTGAAGGATTACATACTTTAATGCACCTCTGAAAGTTGTTTTTTAGTGGATTTTCTAAAATGATAGGAGACAAAATCAGATATCCAAATTGAGGTAATGCAATCCAATGAAACATCGACATATTCAAAAATGTACCAGAGGTAAACATGACCTTTTTGTCTCAGTCTCAATACAAAATAACACTAAGCTTCTGAGAAGTCGGAACTATTGCAGAGCTTATCGATTGGTTTGCGTTCGACCTATCAGGTGTACCTACTTAATTACACCATGTGACTGCACAAATTCGTCAGTATGTTTTCAGCAAATACGCAGCAGATGTCTGAGTAGGTGTTCCTTCAGTAACGTGTGATTGAGCATGTTAATGAAATATGTGATAAGTGTGTATGAGCATGTGTGTGTGTGGGGGTGGGTTACATGAAAGAAATTAGCACCAGTGTACGTGCAGGTGACATGGGTCGTGCTACACGTGCACTTTGTACCATCCACATCCATAATGTGCAGCACCATGTTGGCCGGGTTTAGTCACTTTATATCAATGAGACTCAATTTTAAAATCAAACAGAATTCCTGATATAACAAGGTTAAGATTTAAGTGGTGAGGCTGTTACCTGCTCCGGTGCACATGCTCCATGAGGGCAGCCGGTATGGCGTGGTGAAGCTGTAGAACACGCTGACATCCTGCGGCGTTAGGAACTCCACAAACTTGGCATTGTTGAACACCTCCTGCTTGCAGTTCAAGATGGACGCCGCTTGGTCCGAGATGTAAACGATCTTCCCCGTGATGAGTGAGACAGCTACAGCAAATATATCCTACAGGTAAAAAGATAAAACAACGTTTTAAAAAAAAAAAATCTTAAGTGTCTTTTCATTTCAGGATGTTCAAAACACTGAAGATAAAACCTTCTTTAACTGCACTAATACACTTGATATACTTCCTTCCACTAGTTTGTTCCACATCATCAGATTTCATTACTGCCACCACTTTCCATTTGCTTTCAAAGACAAACAGATTATTTGAATGTTACAGGGTGTTCCTACTTTACTGTGAAGTGGAGATTTGAGCTTCTTACAGTGTTTTTGAGGGTGTATTCAGATGTAATGCGGTTGATTTCCTCAATGGTGTAGGATGATACATCAAACCCTGGTGGCTGACTGTCATTGATCATCAGCATCTGGTAGTATTCCTCGTTGGCTGTAGAGGAAAGTGAACATGAATGAATGCAAACATGAGAGAGAAACATACTTTTGTCTCATAACTATAAGAGATTGTGATTCAGAGCATTTGCCCCAGATTGGTCAAAAATCCACATTTATCTGAAAAAAGTAACAAACAAATGTAACAGACGTCAACACTAGTGATATAGATTAACAACGATGTGAATACGTGTGCGAGCATGTGAATTAAAGCAAGAGCAACTCTTACCTTTCACCTGCTTGACACATCGCAGTGCATATTTGAGCGTGTTGACGGTGCTGGACTTCCCCTTGCTCCTTTTCTCTGACGGCAGGTGCATCTTCAGCTCCTTCAGGGTCTTGAAGAGCTCCTTCTGAGTCTTCGCTTTGGCTGACTGTTCGCTGCTGCAGGGCGAGCATGAGACACATACATGTGCATCAAAATGACGAGGTCTCATCAGCACTGTCACACTCTGAGAAGCACAGCTTTTCCAGCATGCAGAGCAGAACACGAGGGGTGTATGTGAGGGGATGGGGCATGAGGGGATGGATTGGCACTGGGATGCATCTACCGTGGGTCTGACTTCCACAACTTTCCACTGGTGTGTGCAAGTTAAAACTCTAACTGACAAATTGCACATGCATACTAGGGGTAGGCAAGCTCAGGAGTGTACTAACCTGCAGCCGCTGGTTGATGGGTTGTCCTGCTCGGAGCTCACCAGACTGAAGGCATTGGAGCTGCTCGGTGGCGACGGGCTGTGAGAGTTTGAGCTGGAACCATAAACAACGTGTCGTGTTATTGAAGAAGGTGTACAGAAAGAGCACAAAGCGGCGCATTATGAAAGAACAGTTAGAGTGGCCAAACAACATGTAAGACTCAACACATTAAGTGAGTCAAGGACATGGTGTTATAGACTGTACCCAGGATGCCAAGACTGTGCCATCTGCATTCTCTCTGTAAATAAGTCTATAAAAATATGGGGCGTAGCTAATAGGTGAGGTCAAACATTTCTTTTCTTGGAAATGAGATCTGAAAACAAGGAAGGCAGCTCAGGACTTTTATAACTTGTTCTCTACAAGTTATAAGATTATTAGATTAATGTTAACAACCCATTATCACTTAATATGCCTTTCACTACAGCAAATGATTCCACTCAAAAAGAATATCTTCAGAAGTCATAAGCAACCCTTAAATAAGATGAGGAAAAAAAAAGGAAAACATGAAATGCCAGTTTGGAAATGGGAGAAGAAAAAGAAAATGGAAATTTCAATGGGGTAATTTGACCACTGGGTCATTTTCCACATTTTTGTTTTATGTTAAATACAAATCTCAACCAGATGTAGTTTTTGAGGTGAACTTTTTTTTAATACTCTAGTAGCCCTCCTTTAATGGTTAGCATAGTGTACATAGTGTACATAGTGTGCCGTAGCTCTAAAGGGAGTGATAAACCACAAAAAATGCTGATAGAGGGCTCGTCACAGCGCTTCCTGTCTATCGATTCCACTCAGTCTGAGAGAAACAAAGCAACTAACGCACTGCACCTTTTTTTCTAAGGGAGAAACACAAGGAAAGAAAAATAAATCAAACACATACACACAACACTTATCTGACGCAAAGTCAGTTTGCGGTGACGGCTGGACAGCTGGATCAGCTGTCATCTGACTTTAACTGCTCTGTGGTGCCTTTTGTTGTGCTGGAATTTGTAGTTTGTACACATGTGATGTGCTATTAAATTACCAATAATAACACTACACACTTAACACTGCTCATGCTATTCTGATTTTACTGATGCCCCCTTCAAGACGAGCCAGAATGTGGAATATGCACAATCAACCAAATTTAAATTTCAGTAACTGGCAGCAATCCATTATTTTGCAAGTATCGGTAACAGCTGTGCTCATTTTGTATTTCTTATGCTACAGCTTCCCAAAAAATGTCAGAGTCAAAAGAGGCGAATGGGGAAATGTACAATATGGAAACCAAAAGAACTGCAATTAGTCAACTTCAGGCTGCCTGAAACTTCTGCTAAATGTTTCCACGACAAACCAGACGTTGCTGATCAGTGACCATGACAACAACATCAAACAAATTCATAAAAGCATAATGTAGAGTTTCGGTAATCTTCTCCTTTTCATTAACACTTTGATCGAAGCCTAGCTGCACTGTAAACCCTCCTCAGGCCACGTTTGAGGCTTTCTAGTAGTTTATTTATCTCAGTTTGCTGACAACACCAATATGCAGTTAGAACAAAGCAGGCTCTTACAGTCCTCAGATACTTACTTATTCCAATTATTTGCAGCTTTACAGTTAAATGTACGTGTCACGCACATTACTGTGTTCAAAAGCAGCAAACTTTTTGAAATTTGAACATGGAGGAAAAAGTTCATATTCTAACTGTAAATGCAACAGATGGTGTGCTGAGTTTGCTGTGTGATCCAGCAGAGGGCGCTCTAAAACTTCACTATCAGCTTGACCTATAGCTCCATTGATCTATCAGTAAAGTAGTTTGCTGTGAAAGTGGAGGACACTACTGAGCAAAGATGATCTATGCAGACAATCGCAAACACCAGAGCACCTGAGAAGTAGCGTTAAAGTATTTCAGTTCTACACCATAGATGACAAAGATAACGCTGTTTGTTGACTTTATACTAAGCAGCCTCCTTATTCCTCAATGACAACAAAACTGTGCATTCAAATACATTTGAACTCACTGCACATTAATTCAAATTCATTCAAACTTCATGTTTTGGAAAAAGCAGCAATCCTATAATCAAGCCTATCGTTGTCCAACTGTTGTATAACCAGAACCTGAGAATCAACAGAACTTGTAAAATTTCCCCTAACTTGTTATGCTTCACTCTCTTCTCATTAAAACTCACCTGATAAATCCCCAGGTCATTAACATTAACTCACCGCAGTTTAAAGCGAAGAAATGCCAACGAGTAGAGACAAGTTTATATTAATATTGGCTCATTTATCATTATTAGTTTTTTTTTTTTAACTCTAAAATTTCAGTATCAGTGTTGGCCTCAAAAATCCTGCAGTGGTCTGCCTATACTTCTCGTAGTTAATGATTGAGGCCAACTTTTTACCTGGTGTTTCTACTTAGGCTATTTGGAGCTAGAAAGAAAACATTAGGGCCAATGCTCTTGTAGGATATCAGGAAATGTGCTTAACTACTTAAATAAACTGTTATAAGGTTTAATTTTTAAGACATTTGTTCACTACATTACAGTCAAGCAGCACAGAGAGTGTGGAGCCATCACACTGAAACCAGTGGCCCTCGTCTTACTGTTGAACATCAAAACGGGAGGCCAGTTTTCCACATTCCTAAGGTGTATGTTTAAGTGTTGGACTCATTCTGTCAGCACATTCCAATACAAAATATCATCAGTCATTGAGAAGCTGAGTTCTCTCAAACACTTGGTGGATAAAGGGAAGCACTGCCTGCCTGAAATTAACTTTTGTCCTTTGCCTGTTGTCAGTTACTTGCTCCACTGCATTTTAAGGCATTTTTTTTTAAGTATTTATCCAGTGTTTTAGATTGGCTGAGTATAGTAGAACAGAGTCTGTGGAGGACAACTCTCAGTAGCATTTCATACATTAAGTGCAAATGAACATGGACTTTACAGTAACATTAGAGGGGGGAGGGTTTAATAATTCAAAAACTACATTATAGTGTAATGTGTAGTTCTACTGGAGATAGTATATGTGGGGTTTCTGCAAAATACTTGAGTGTTATGGTGCAATCAATTAATAGTGACCAGTTATTTTTGAAAAATGAATAGCAATATATTGTACATTTTATTGTGAAAATATACATTTAACAACGGATTTTGCTGGAAAGACGATGCTACAATGATGATGATGCAACACCACCATGAATAATGTATGAGTGAAGGTCATCCGTTATCTATTGCCACATTTGGTTATCAGGTTATTAAATATACCTATAATCTAACAGAATCCAATAGCTCTTAAATGCATTGATCATAAATGTATTGATGAGGTGTTGATTGGATACTAATCTTTGAGCCTGAAGTTTTATGTCTATGCTGTACTGGCCTGCATTTTGAAAAGACTTCCCATTTATTTTTCTCCACCTCATGGATGAAACTAGGGCTGGAGAAAACATTAGCGCTCGGTTATGTAATAGTCAACCTCCAGTAGGTGTGCTCTTTTCTTCAGACAAGAGACGAAAGTGATAGTCAAACAGATGCAGGGAGACATGTTACTTAAAAGCCTGGCACCTCTGAATGGCATATGGTTACTCAGCAAAGAGCCGGGCTGCAGGAAATTATAACAATCCAGAATTCTCATCAAAATCAAGCCAACAGTCATTGTCTTTTTGTACTCTGTCTCGTACTTAGGAATAAAACACTGCTCCTCTCAGTGTGAGTCAGTCACTACTAGCTTACAACAGTGACTCAGACCAACAACAAATGTTCCTTCCATTGCATTTAATGAACCTCCCTTCAGTGACCTAGATGGTCCGCTCCCCCATTGTGGTAAACACTTCATTTACTACAAGTTGGTGCATTTGATGTGTCCTCACCTTTTGTTGCTCCCTGAAGACTCCAGGAGAGCCGAGTCCTTGCCATTGCCATTGGAGCTGCCCACAGATTCATTGCCATGGGACTCGTTGCCATGCGACTCATTACCATGAGATTCTGTCCCGCTGCCACTCGAGCCGCTGCCGCCCATCTCTACATCCTCGTGCATGGGTGGGCGTGGCCGCTTCCTGTCTTCGTGCGGGGAGCCCGGCGAGGCAGGGTGTTCATGGCTGCTGTCGCTTCCCTCGGAAGCCAGTCCCAACTCTGGTTCAAGCTCGACCCCATCCCGCCCACCACAACTCTTGCTGTAACTGCTGGCCATGCGGTGAAGTTGGCTAATGGAGCCACAGGGAGAACCCTCCTCTTCCTCCACCTGGAAGCCGACCCTTTCCCGGGTCCGTTCAGGCCCGTCCAGGGATGAGTACAGGTAGTGCTTTGGATCACTGTCCTCAGACATTGGGCAGGCCACAGGGAAAAATTTGCAGAATTAAGCTATCTTCCACATGGCAATGCCATGAGATGCGTGGCACTGGGAGGTAAATGGAGTTGATGCCTCAGGAGGCAAGATGTAGTCTAAAGGAGGAAAATAAAACACAGGTGACATTACTCAGACAAACCATTTACAATACAGTGGACTTCAATAGACAGAAGATAAAATAAACAAAGTCCTAAACTTAGATACAATCAATGTGGATTGTGGATGGAAATCATCCATCAAAAGTGCAGTGGCCATCACTTTCATCTGATCATCCAGCACAACCTTGGATCTCAGCGTTTTTAAAAGTCAAACATACAGAAAAGGGCACAGCAGCACAGCAAGGGATCTTGCTGTGTGAACACACACACACACACACACACACACACACACACACACACACACACACACACACACACACACACACACACAGGCTGCTGCCATCCATCCTTCAAAAGATCTGTATAGTAAACAGGCTGTTGTTTGCCCTTTGCGGGTGGATTGAAGCCCCAAACCAGTGTGATCCAGTTCATGCTTTTTCACAAGAAAGGTGAGTCCGCAGAGATAAAAAGCCTCAGGGACACAACACAAACAACAACCTTCACGTCGACAGAAAATGCTTATGAAAAAATCCTTTGTATTATTGAAGCTGTATCTTCTCCCTGCAGCTGATGGGTCTCGTCTCATCACAAATTAACTCATTAACAGGTGGGAGAAAAAACACTGAGAACAGATCCCTGGGGGGTGAGAAAGCTCTGCCTCATATTTAACAGTATTATCATTAATGCCAAGGATGTAGACCCCACAGAAGCAGATGATAAACAGATGTGTTGATGCCTTGTCCATGCTCACTTTAGTCTAAATCAAATAAAGGTAGTCTTATGCAACACTGTGCAGTGCCCCTGAATCAATAGCAATATAAAAAAGATGTGAACTGTCCCTCAAGTAACATTTACCTTGAATCATAACATTAACTACACTTGTTACCTTAGACAACAAAATAAATACAACAAAATATAAAGAAGTTATATTTGTTCTTTAAAATGAATGAACCCAATAAAAAATACAGGAGCTACAGTTCCACAGTAAAACAATGGTTCAGCCTATTTACAGTATGTCTGTAAATAGTCCTAATAGGAAATACTGGCAACAGGTACTGGAACCAAATCCAAAATATTCACTTTTCTTCCTGCTGCCCACGAACAGGTTGCAGCTTTTTATATAAGTCTGCACATTCAGCAACATGTCTATTCTTTACTCTTTACATAAGCAATTTTACATAACTTGTCAAAGTTTATACGGAAGGTTTTTCATGTTTTTAAAAAAAACACAAAAAAACACACACACACACAAAAAACCACCCGTCAGACTTTCCAACCACCCACACATTCACTGCCATTGTATGAAATGACCCACTCTCAGTTTAACTGAGGCAGTGGCCAAGTGCTCACAGGGGATTTTCTATTGGCTGCTGTGAGTGACCAATCGGGAGAGAGCTAGGAGTGACTACAGGTTAGAATTATGTCAGCCAATTGTGGGGAAGTAAGGACTATAAGTATGTCAAAAGACATACAAATGTATTATTTCATTTTTGGAAAGAGAAACAGATCAACACTTCAAAAATAGTTTTTATGACACAGATTTATGACACAGCACATATTACATAAAATCAGACTGTTAATTATGTGTAAGACAATGCTATTTATTATTATTCACCCTGTTTACAGGAACAGTGTTAACTGTAAGCAGCAGGGTATTGGCCTTGAACAGCCAACAATAGGTGCTACAAAAATATTAAAAAACTAGGTTAACGCAGTGGAACACAAACTATATCAAAGGACGTTTGCCTCCATGTTGTCACAATTTTTCACAGATAAATGCTGTTCAGCCATGAAGATATTAAACATTGTCCACTCCAAAACTTAAGCAAACAGGCATGATATTGGTTTGCCGGTAAAAGCAATAGAAACCAAATCCAAAAATCACCATCAGCTCAACCAACTCTGATGCATTTACTGTATCTATGATTGTTTTAATCCCCTAAACAGAACTTGCAATAGTGGTATGGGCTTACCAGAGACCCTTTCCTCCATGAACATTACTTGACAGATCAGCAAACAGCAAAATCAGCAAAAAGTCAGCAAAAGTATTCAAACACACTTTCCCCCCAGATCCTGAAAACACTAAGAGACATGGCCACACAACAATTTAACTCTCAAAACAGAGGAATAATGACGTAATGACACTGAACTCCGGCTTCTGCTGGAGAGCTGATACACCCAACACACTAGCACAGATCTCAAGCATTATACAACTGCTGCTCCAGTCACATGGATTTGGCCATAGTGCAGCACAAAGTAGTGGTAGCCTTGTTTCATAAAACCACATGCTTTCACTTGTATCCAACTACTCTCAAGTGCATTCTTTGAGGAAATCTGAGACAGCAGTTACATGAGCACCTCTGAGGATAGGATATTAAGGATATACAATATATATATTATTTATCTTTCCTATAGATATATATATAAAATGCTGGAGACAATCTTCTTAGACTATCCAGTTAAACAGGGGGTAAAACATTAGTCCTGTGTTATTAGAGGAGAAGTAATCAGTATTTCCATGTTCAGTCACGTTAAGGTTAGTATTTCATTAAAAGGACATCACAAACAGACACCTGTCATTACACAACACAACTTGCCAAGTTAATACATTACAATGGTAACAATAATGAATAAAACTATAAAAATAACTTCTTTTCTAAGAGTGGTGTGTTAAAATCTATCTTCTTTGGAGCTGAAACAATGTCACCATGACTTAATTATTCTTCTGTCTTACAGTCAAGATCAGTTTCTCTCTGAGGTGTCATTATGGAGGCAACATGTTGACCATAAGCAGCTCAAGGTCTACCTATGGATAACTAATAAAGGTCTAACACCAATATGCAAATCCTATCGAACATAGCAGCATTAAACAGCATTGTGATTATCATGTCGACCTAATAATATCCACAGGTACAGAGAGAAACGGTTTTCTATGTATGTGTGGGGACAAAAGGCCTAAAAGAGGTCCTTGGAGAGTAATAAGCTAGAAATTAACCTACTTGCTTAAATAATCGAAATCCATTTTTAAATAACGTCAGCCCAATAACATTTGTCACAAATGTAAGTAATATATCCAAATAAAATTATTTTTGTAATGGGAGCAAACAACCCTTCCCCCATCTAACTCCCATTGACCTGCTATTCAAAATCCACACACACGTTGACCTGCAATCCACTGCACGGTACACTGACACAGTTATGTAAAAGTAACCACATCGGTAAAAACACGCCACAAAACAGCTGCCACTCGGCCATAGAGGAGCCAGTTCGCATAAACCCACATTTTTCTTTCCCTACGGGTGACCAGAAAACCTCGAACCGGCATTTTTAGGTTATAAAAGTACGATAAGTAGAGCAATCCGAATTGACGCGCATGCGCACACGAGTTTTGGTTATGCAACTTATTTTTTGCGCTCGGTTTTTCACTCTTTTTTAAAAACCAGAAAGTAAAAATGAAAGAAAACCAACCTGTGATGTAGAAATAAAAATCACCTTTCCGGTCGTCCTCGGTGTCAAGTAGAAGCGGAGCCGAGCAGTGAGTAAAACAGTCAGTTAAACCTCCAGTATTCCTCAATGGGAGACGGTTTAGACGAGCTGACACAGTGGCCGAATGTTCCTCCCCGGTACTCTCTGACTCTGGCCTACTAGCGAATCGGCGAGCTCAGCGCGCGACCTCAATTCAGACTCCTCCCCCGGCCTTCCCCAATTGGCTGAAAGCTACGGGTTTCCATGGAGAACGTGACGGAATCGCAGCGGTGTGAGCTCATTGGTCCGAAGCGCTGTCCGTCGTTTTATATAAACAAGCCATCCACCGCACGTGGAATACCATGTTATGCGTATCGTGCCGCGAGAGACCTGGGTGGTTATGACTATGCCGCGTCCAAAACAACGTATCCAGTGTGGAAATTACATAAATGCGAAAGAATGAAGAGGAAACAACCAGGAAACGACGAAACACGCTGAATATTACACATCAATACGTTTAATTTGCCTCGGCTCTGTTGCCGGTTGACGGTTGTAAACGAACAAATAGCGAGTTAGACGAAATGTCCCATAGCGTTATTTATTGAACATATATCTTCTAAATTACAGTGTATAACCTTAAAAACACGCCGACTGAAGTTAAGAAGAAGACATGTTGAGGAAAACACAGATGTGAATGGAAAGAGTGAAGGGGCAAAGTCCTCAATTTTTGGTTGTGTAAGCTACAGCAAGGCATGTTTTTTCCAGAGATACCTGCATCACATCTGTTACTGCACCGAAGTGATACTGCCTTTCTTCCGGAAAGAAGAACTGATAAAATGTCATTTCTGTGTGTTATTTAAGAGGGAAAATTATATGTAACTCAACGTGTAAGGCAAAGAAGGTACTTGAAAGTTCTTGCTCTGTTGTCTCTCCCTCTCTCTCTCTCTCTCTCTTGCATCATCAGGAGCAACATATGAGAAGGATGAGGGTTTACATCCTCTTCTTGTTCCAGGCTGAAGGCTTTGTTCAGCAGCTTGTTCTGATGAATGGGATTCTGCTTTGTGCCAGGCTTGCTCATCATTGTTCATCATCATGACTGGCTAATGCTGGAGAGGACAGACTGTATTATTTTCACATGCTGGCACGGCAGCCACAACAACATATTTTTTCTTCTAGGGCCAAGATTCTTCCGTAGAACAGCTCGGTGCAGAGATCTGGACTCGGTGCTTAGTACTAAAGTGCCACTTTCAAGTGGCAGCCACCAACGCCTGCTGAGGTGGCACTGTAGTCAACAACGCACCCTGCTGTCCTGCCTTATGTCCACTCACCAGCGTGGTCTCTCACATCCACTCTCACCGTCTCACTCTGCCTGCATTTATCTAGCACTTTATGAAATGGCTTGAGTATGATATCACACTGAGAGCTTTAATACTGTTTGAGGCTCTATTGTTAGCTTTTGCTTTCTTGGCATGATTGCATTGTGTTTC